TATAAAACAGAAACATAGACATAAACTGTTAACACAACATATACATTAAAATCAATTTAAAAACAGTTCCGCTCTCTTCTTCAAACTAGTTAAGCTGCCAGGGGCAAAGTTTTCAATAAGGGGCCTGGACTATTTGGAACGGGCTGGGCCAAGGAGAAGGAAAAAATGGGACTGGCTGAATACTATAGTACAAGGATTGGTCTCAGCAATGGCCCTACTAGGGGACCAGGGCTACTGAATTCTAGGGCCAATTAAAGGACTATAAGGAAGGTCTGGGCTGGAAGAAAAGGTGCCCTCAGATGACCAGGAACTGGGGAATGGATGGGGTACAAGGCCAAGTCCTAACTGTTGGACCAAGGGCTTGAGACACGAGACTAGTCATTATCGAAGGCCTGATGAAATCACCAAGTCTTCAAGTTCTTACGGAAGGAGGTGAGGGATGGGGCCAGGCTTATCTCCTTGGGGAGGGCATTTCAGAGGCAGAGGGCCACCATTGAAAAGACCCTCTCCCTCGTCCCCACCAACCGGGTTTGAGACAGTGGTGGGAGTAAGAGGAGGGCCTCCCCAGTGGATCTTAGTGTCCATGCTGGTTCATAGAGGATGCGATTGTGAAGACAGGCAGGGCCCGAACCGTTTAGGGCTTTATAGGTCATCACCTGCACCTTGAATTTGGCTCAGCAACTGGGGAGTGGATGGGGTACAAGGCCAAGTCTTAACTGTTGGACCAAGGGATTGAGGCTTGAGATTAGTAATTATAGAAGGCCTGATGAAACCACCAAGTGTTCAAGTTCTTACGGAAGGAGGTGAGGGCTGGGACCAGTCTTATATCCTTGGGGAGGGCGTTCCAGAGGCAGGGGGCCACCATCAAAAAGGCTCTCTCCCTCAACCCCACCAACCAGGCTTGAGACAGTGGTGGGAGTGAGAGGAGGGCCTCCCCGGGGGATCTTAGTGTCCACGCCGGTTCATAGAGGGAGATGCGACTGTGAAGATAGGCAGGGCCCAAACCATTTAGGGCAGTGGTTCTCAACCTGGGGTCCCCAGATGTTTTTGGCCTACAACTCCCAGAAATCCCAGTCAGCTTACCAGCTGTTAGGATTTCTGGGAGTTGAAGCCAAAAACATCTGGGGACCCCAGGTTGAGAACCATTGATTTAGGGCTTTATCACCTGCACCTTGAATCTGGCTCGGCAACTTATCGGCAGCTAGTGGAGCTGTTTCAATAGGGGCGTTGTTAGGAGCCGGGCTGCCGCCCGTTGTACTAGTTGGAATTTCCGGGCTGTCTTCAAGGGCAGCCCCACGCAGAGCATGTTGAAGTAGTCCAATCTGGATGTAACCAAGGCATGGCGTAGTCAGACTTCACGAGGTATGGTCGCAGCATTGAGGTATGGCTGTTAAAGGAGGGTCAAACTGCATTGATTCTACAGTGTAGATCAGGCATGGGCAAAGTTGGGCCTTCAAGGTGTTTTGGACTCCAATTCCCATCATTCCTAACAGCCTCAGGCCCCTTCCTTTTCCCCCTCAGCCGCTTAAGCGGCTGAGGGGGGAAAGGAAAGGGCCTGAGGCTGTTGGGAATGATGGGAATTGGAGTCCAAAACACCTTGAAGGCCCAACTTTGCCCATATCTGGTGTAGATACACCTTAAAAACCACACGACGCCTCAGAACCGGCCTATTAGGCAGGCAATACCTCCAGCAGGACACAAGGCCTCAGTCCCGTGAGGCAAAAGCCTCACCGAGCCGTTGGCGGTGAAGACGAAGATGGAAAATGGAGAGGGACTGAAAGCCCTCGTCTCACACTAGCTCAGTTACACAGCACAGGGACAGCCGTGGCGACCAATCAGCGGGCCGCTTTTGCTCCCGCCTAGGCCCCCGCAGCCAATGGGGATCAGCGTAGGCAAAAGTGGGCGGGCTACCACGGAACCAGCATGGTCGGGTGTCCTCCGCCTGTCCCTACGCCATGGGCCTGGATCTCGATTCCCTTCCTATGCATCCCGCTACGAGGGCCCGCTTCTTGCCCCTTCACGAACGAAGGGCGACCCGTCTTCCCCGGCAACCCGACCTCACCTGGCGGATCTCCTGACAGCGGCACCAACTCCTCGTACAACTCCGCTTCACATTCAAACCTCGGTGAGAGGGCGCGGCGACGTCGGGGACGTGGTGACGCAATCACGTACACGAACCTCTGTCCCCGCCCCCTTTCTTGCCGCGGCCAATCAAGACACGCTTCCTCCAAAAGCCATCAGCCAATCCCAACTGGCTTCTCCCCAAAGCCACCAGCCAATCTCGCTTGAGGCGGACAGACCAACCTGCTTCTTCTGCTCAGGAGGATCCACAATGCCTCGTGCGGCCTTTTAGTGTAGGAAGCTTGACAGTCCACCTCTGCTTAGTCCAGTGTTTCTCAACCCCTGGGGAGGTTGCTAGTTGGTGCCAAAGACTATCAGAAAACACAGTATTTTCTGTTAGTATAGGGGTTCTGTGTGGGAAGTTGGGCCCAATTCTATCATTGGTGGGGTTCAGAATGTTCTTTGATTGTAGGTGAACTACAAATCACAGCAACTACAGCTCCCAAATGTCAAGGTCTATTTTCCTCAAACCCCACCAGTGTTCACATTCTATCGTTCGTTCAGAATGCTCTTTGATTGTAGGTGAACTACAAATCCCCACAACTACAACTTCCAAATGTCAAGATCTATTTCCTTGAAATTCCACCACTGTTCACATTTAGGCATATTGACTATTCGTGCCAAGTTTGGTCCAGATCCATCGTTGTTTGAGTCCACAGTGCTCTCTGGATGTAGGTGAACTACAACTCCAAAACTCAAGGTCAATGCCCACCAACCCTTCCAGTATTTTCTGTTAGTCATGGGAGCTCTGTGTGCCAAGTTTTGTTCAATTCCATCATTGGTGGGGTTCAGAATGTTCTTTGATTGTAGGTGAACTACAAATCACAGCAACTACAGCTCCCAAATGTCAAGGTCTATTTCCCCGAAATTCCACCACTATTCACATTTAGGCATATTGACTATTTGCGCCAAGTTTGGTCCACATCCATCGTTGTTTGAGTCCACAGCGCTCTCTTGATGTAGGTGAATTACAACTCTAAAATGCAAGGTCAATGCCCAACTCATGGTCAGTGGCCATCAAACCCTTCCAATATTTTCTGTTGGTCATAGGAGTTCTGTGCCAAGTTTGGTTCAATTCCATCGTTGGTGGAGTTCAGAATGCTCTTTGATTGTAGGTGAACTATACATCCCAGCACAGGGGCGGCTCAACCCATTACGCAAAGTAAGCATTTCCTGTATAGTTGATTTTGCCCAGGGGCGCTATTGGGGGAAAATAGACCTTGACATATGCGAGTTGTAGTTACTGGGATGTATAGTTCACCTACAATCAAAGAGCATTCTGAACTCCACCAATGATGGAATTGAACCAAATATGGCACACAGAACTACCACAACGAACAGAATATATATATATCAGTGATTGGTTGGGGGGGGATACTGTTTGCTTACCATTGAAAATTACCTAGAGCCGCCTCTGTCCCAGCAACTACAACTCCTAAATGTCAAGTTTATTTTCCCCAAACTCCACCAGTTTTCACATTTGGGCATATTGAATACTTGTGTCTAGTTTGGTGCAGATCCATCATTGTTTGAGTAGGTGAACTACAACTCCAAAACTCCAGGTCAATGCCCACCAGACCCTTCCAGTATTTTCTGTTGGTCATAGGAGTTCTGCGTGCCAAGTTTGGTTCAATTCCATTGTTGGTGGCGTTCAGAATGCTCTTTGATTGTAGATGAACTATAAATCCCATCAACTACAAACCCAGTGAATGAAAATACATCCTGCATATCAGATATGCATATCAGTCGCCCCTGGGCTGAGAATTACGGTATATAAGAGAAGTAAATAAATAAATATTTACATTACAATTCATAACAGTAGCAAAATTACAGTTACGAAGTAGCGCTCTAACTGGTGTTCAGCTGTGACCTGCAGTACTGCGGAATTTGAAGTGGCAAGAATGGAGGGCGAAAGGGAGAAATGTGTCAAGAGGAAGGCACGTTAAGCCAACCCTGACTGGGACAGCCTTCCACCTGGAAACCAATGTCCTCACTGCGGGAGAACATGCAGATCGAGAATAGGGCTCCATGGCCACCTCCTGACCCACTGCCAAGACACTACGCTTGGAGGACCATCAATCTCGGGCTACAAGGGATCACCTAAGAGAGAAAGAGAGACTGAGAAAGCCCTGTCTCTCGTCCCCACCAGTCGCGCTTGCGAATGGGGTGGGACCGAGAATAGGCCTCCCCCGAAGAACTTCGCCTCCAAGGTGGATCATAGGGAGAGATATGTTCAGACAGGTAAGCTGGGCCGGAACTGTTGAGGGCTTTATAGGCTAAAGCCAGTACTTTGAATTGTGCTCGGTAGTAGACTGGCAGCCAGCTGAGCTGATGCAACAGGAGAGTTGTATGTTTCCTGTATGTCGCTCTGGTGAGCAATCTGCCTACTGCCTGTTGGACCCTATAACCTGTTCAGCCTTACGACTGACCAGGAGTTCCTCTGTCTTGTCTGGATTCAGTTTTAATTTATTCACCCTCATCTAGACCATCACAGCTGCCCAGCACAGGTTCAAGACCTTGACAGCCTCCTAAGTAGCAAATGAAAAGGAGTAACAGAGTTGAATGTCATCTGTATACAGATGACATTGAACTCCAAAATTCTGGATGTTCTCCCTAGCGGCTTCATGTAGTCACTAAACAACATGGGGAACAATATTGTCCTATCCCCCAACAACACCTTCTGGGAACAATCCTCCACGAAGGACTGGAGCCATTGTAAAACAGTACCTCCAAGTCCCTTTCCTGCAAGAAGGATACTGTGCTCAATGCTATCAAAGGCCGCTGAGGTCTTTTGTCTTCCTCCTCCTCTGGAGTCCTGATTAGTAACACACCAACAAATGTGCTATGAACAAGTAGATGATGTAAACGTTTGCAATAGATTTGGTTTTTTTTTTACATTTTATTTATCACCTGATTAAAGCATGGAATACAACAGTATTATACATAATATTTTATGTAAAAAAACTTTACATAGCTTTTTGCATTATATAATTATTCAGCTATTCTCTCAAAAATGTATACATCCATTGGGCAAGGAATGCTTTTCATTAACTTAATGATATTAAATGCACTTCATAATAGAAGATCTCATAAGAAGAAAAAAAACATAGCTGTAACTAATTTTAGGCATTTTATAGATAAAACACATTTTGCACAAACTATATTTTATTTAAAATTGCAAGAGATATTTCGGACAAAATGTCAATACATTTAAATAATTGCACCTCCCACAAGTCAATATTTTCTGTTTACCTGCTTCAAGCCAAGGCTCAAATAATCTGCTATTTAACCTATCTGGGGATATAATTCACTGGCCTTTTATGAGTCAGATTAATTTCAGTGGAAGTATGCCAGTGGTCAGTGAACTGCCCTTATGAAATACAATGCACAAAATTCAAGCTAACCTGATTCCATCAACTTTATTAATAAAATAAGCAGTGTGTGTGCAAATATAAAGGCTTAAGACATATGTAGTCTACAGCCTCCATTTGAATTCACACAACAGAAATGCAACCAGAAAAGCTTTTCTGAGGTTTTATGTAAATAAAAACGTGACTTCCTCAAAAGAGTTCCAAAGAAAAAATGCCACTTGCACTGCAAGACAACTTTGGGAAAAGCAAAAACTAGGTTACTATCAGGACCTCTGTCACTACGTGAAGCTTTCTCACCTGTTACTGTACTGTGCTCCTTCCAAGTATGGATAGAAGAAGAGGTTCATATGTAGATCTGTGCATCATTTTGGATTGTATTCTAATCAGATCTTAAGAAAGTGTAGATGCAGTGCTGGGTGGTCAAGTTAGAAAAACATGGGCAAGTTATGGAGCCTGTAAGCTCTTGCTTTCCTTTTTGGATCTTATCCCTTCTTTCCCATTTCCAGTTAATACTAATTTACATTTAAATTAAAGTTATCACGTAATAAGCAAGGCTAATGTCCATCAGAGTTCCCATCTTAGTGAGCAAGCAGAAGCAATTGAAGCAATTTACTGTAGTTAAAAGGGAACCTGGTTATAGTTAACCATGATTGCTGACAGTTCAGATGTAAAAATCTAACTGAATGGTTGGTGGTTCAAATCTGGGGAGTGGGGTGAGCTCCTGTCTGTCAACTCCAGCTTCTCATGCGGGGACATGAGGGAAGCCTCCCACAGGATAGTAAAACACCTGAGCGTCTCCTGGGCAACGTACTTGCAGATGGCCAATTCTCTCACATCAGAAGTGACTTGCAGTTTCTCAAGTCACTCCTGACATGAAAAAAAAAGATGTAAATATTAAACCAAGGTTAATGAAAGAGGGAAAAAATACCAGAGGCGGGACAAGGGAGCCTATAGTCTGCTACATGAACCCACAGCATTAAGTATAATTGGGCTGCTTTAACATGCATTTAATTTCATTGCATGATACCGAGTTCTGTAGCTGGGAAATACCAGCTCCGTAAAATTTTCCTATGGATACAAAAGTGCCACAGGAAATACTATGTTTAATCTGCAGAATCTACTGTATGATCACAACTCAAAAGAATTTGCTGTGAAAGCTTCTGGAGAGAAATCCTGTTTATTCTTGGAGTGGGATATTGCCAAAAGAAAGCTACATTGAAGAAGCCCGTCGCCACTGTAAGAATATGTTTAGACATTATATATATATATATCAATGTTACCACTCCCCACAAATTATCACACACATTTCAGGAACAGCTGGAATAAGGCTATTATGGAAGTTCTTCACATCTACTCACACACTTCACACCATGATAATCACACAGTAATCTAGGTCCCCTCCCCCATATGTTTTTAAATTAAAGTGTATTCATTTAGAAATGTAACCATTTACTGTTAAAACGTAGCTTTCCTAAGGAAATATTCATATAACACTAAGGCTTTAAAAGGCTCCAGGTTTTTTTTATACATATGCAAAAACCTCACATGTACAGCTTCTTCACAGTATTTTACATTGCTAGGGTTTGAAGATACTATTTCAGTCCCATATGTATTGCACTTCGTATTCAGACTGTGAAGCATCAGTTGTGACGTTGTTATGTTCCCCTAATGAATTGAAATACTATAATATGAATATTTTCTTGACAAAGGATGAGTACCCAGCTGTATTTGAGCAACATATCAATAGCAGAACCACAGCAGTGGGCGGGAAAGCAAGAATCTAATTAAAAATACAGGTCCGTATACAAATGTAAAAATATATTTATAAAAATAAATCACTTCTTGCAGTACTTTGTGAAGTGCCCCCATTACGCTGCAAATGTAAGTCTGAATTGCTTTAAATGCTGATGAAAATTAAAATATTTTTTAACGTAATCTTTTGTCCATGGCAAAATATTAACCACAATCCTTTCTAATAAGTTATTTATTCTTGTCACATGAAACAAAATTCTGTGCTTGCTACATAAAATTCTTTGGTAGAGAAATTAATTTTCAAACTGTTTTTTAGTGAATATATTAATGATCAAAAACAAGTGTAAAATCCACACTGCATTGCTATAAACAAAAGCTAACCCGAATGAGAGAAAAACCTAGCACCAGCACTTAATAAAATAAATCCAGCGAACAATTCTGTTTCTCTCCAAAACATTGTTCCTTTGGTTGTGCTAATAGCCAAGCTCAAGTTACTAAGTAAGACGTTCCAAGCACACTGAACCTAATTATTTTCAGAACCTACCACCTTCAGTTTAACTTGTTTCAAAAACACTTGCAGCCAATCAATCACTATTTTTCTGCCCACTTGGTTAATACTTATACAACTCATGTTTACAGATATGGCTAAAGAAAACATATGCCTGATAATACTTTTGTACTTGTATTTTTAATACATTTGGATGGAAACCATTTCCTTCCTGCCCTCTTATCCAAATTTTACTCTCATTATTATCAAACTGAAATACAACCACACAGGTTTTGCCTGCTGTATTTTACAAAACTATTTTTTTAAAACTGGGCAAAGAATACTAAGACGTGGTCTCACCAAAAATATATATACGTATATAATTCCTTCAGAACCAATCATTGAAGCCAAAAGGACTACACTGATACAACTGCAAGTTTACTTCCCATTTCCCCTTAATAAACAGGATTTTGTCACGTGTATATATTAATAAATCAAGTGGTCCCGATAGGAACCAGATTCTTCTCCCTCATACGATTAATGCTAATAAAATACTAAAGCAAGCCATTAAAATGACCAATAACTCATAGTTCTGCAGAAAAATAGAAATATCTTCATATGCATTAAAGATAGCCTGCTTTTACCCAAATGCTCTTATATATTATTGAAAAGGGAAAGATTTTATAAGTAGTATAAATTGTAAATTAGTGTGCACTTCAAAGATTAAATTTAAAATTCCCCTTTGCCATGTGCTCCTTGTAATTAAATATTAAGCATCAGAGGATTTTTCAAAGCTGTCAAGGTTCTCAAACTGAAGTCATAAGCAAACTAGTAACTGGATAAGCAGGCCATGGGTTTTGTTTTCGTTTTGCTAGTTTGAAGGAAAAGGCATTCCCTGTGTAGTAATATATTTTGTTCATACTAATCCTGTTATCAAGGATACTTTCATATGCTGAAAATCAATCCGGTCCAGACCAAGAAAATGTGGTGCAGCTCTAGAAATAAATGATACACCACACACATTTTGCAACATACAGCAAGTCAGGAATAGTAGTAATAGAGCTAAGACTCTTTTGGATTATTATTCTTTTCTTGGTGACTGGTCATATTATGATCCATTCACTATTTTACCATGTGTTTGCAGAAATGAGAGCACCAGAACATTTAAAGGTCCAGTCTTCAACTGAATGTACCCTGTTGAGGTGGAAAATGTTCCAGAATAGTTTTGAAATAAACTTTTATCCTCTCAGTTACTTATGAATACATTTGCTAACATCACAAGCCTATAGTAATATATTCAGTATTATCTCATAGAAACACTTTCTATTCATTTATTGTTTTCAGCATATCATGGGCTGGAAGGTATAAGAGGGAACCATTGCAAAGAACAGATTTGAAGAGACAAGCGTAGTAATAAGAATTACTTGACATTTACTGCGTTAAGTTGCCAAATGCTAACAGCTATTCCTACAGGGCAGCCAGAATTTTAAAAAGAAAGGTGAATTTTCCTTCAGAAATGCCAGCTTGATCGATATAACCTCGCTGATACCATGGGTTGCGGTTTCTTCGTCTTGAAACAGGCCAGTTATTTGTTGTTTTCTTTCTGCATACATTCTTTGAACTGAGCACGACACAAGCTTTGGGAAAGAGCAGCCATGGAGCTACCATGCATGTGAATGGCTCCCCATTGTCTGTAGCTGTCCTTCGGGAATCCAGATTTTGAACACGACACCTATGCGCAGGAAAAACTTTCGCAGCACGGCTCGAAGCTCTGGGATTAAGTCAAACTGCATTATTTCACATAGGTAGGGGTAATACGTTGAAGCGTGTGCTTTAAACTTGTAAGAAGGAAAAGAAAAAAACCGAATTAGACTTTGCAAAAGCACTTCCTTCAAAGAGGACAATTTAATTAATAGGTCATCACAGTCACATTGCAGTATAGGTAAAGTCCAGACATTAAGTCCAGTCATGTCTGACTCTGGGGTGTGGTGCTCATCTCCATTTCTAAGCCGAAGAGCCGGCGTTGTCCGTAGACACCTCCAAGGTCATGTGGCCGGCATGACTGCATGGAGCGCCGTTACCTTCCCGCCGGAGCGGTATCTATTGATCTACCCACATTTGCATGTTATCGAACTGCTAGGTTGGCAGAAGCTAGTGCTGACAGCAGAAGCTCACGCCGCTCCCCGGAATCGAACCTGCAACCTTTCGGTCAACAAGCTCAGCAGCTCAGCGTTTTAACCCACTGCACCACCGGGGGCACCTACATTGCAGTATAACAACATCTAAATCTTAAAACTGCCATGTTTATATAAAAATTATATGCTGCTCGGGTTGCTGTGAGTTTTCCGGGCTGTATGGCCATGTTCCAGAAGCATTCTCTCCTGATGTTTCACCCACATCTATGGCAGCCATCTTCAGAGGTTGTGAGGTATATTGGAAACTAGGCAAGTGGGGTTTATATATCTGTGGAATGTCCAGAGAAAGAACTCTTGTCTGTTTGAGGCAAATATGAATGTTGCCATTGGAAAGCTTGATTAGTATTGAATGGCCTTGTAGCTTCAAGGCCTGGCTGCTTTCTGCCTGGGGGAGTTCATTGTTGGGAGGTGTTAACTGGCCCTGGTTGTTTCTTGTCTAGAATTCCCCTGTTTTGGGGTGTTGTTCTTTCTTTACTGTCCTGTTTTTTTAAATTCATGGTACAGTAGAGTCTCACTTATCCAAGCTTCGGTCATCCAATGTTCTGTATTATCCAATTCAGTCTGCCTCCCACCTGGATCCACAGCAGTTTCAATACATTGCAATGTTTTGGTGCTAAATTCGTAAACACAGTAATTACTACATAACATTACTGTGTATTGAACTACTTTTTCTGTTGATTTGTTGTAAAACATGTTTTGATTATTAATTTGTAAAGTCATAATGCAATTTGATGTTTAATAGGCTTTTCCTTAATCCCTCCTAATTAACATTTTTGCTTATCCAATGTTCTGCCAGCCCGTTTCTGTTGGATAAGCGAGACTCTACTGTACTTACTGTACTCATTCTTAAAGGAATTCACAGTGTGGTGTCTATAACTTTAGAAAATAGTAAATGTAAAGGTTTCATGTCCAACTCTGGGGGGTGGTGCTCATCTCCATTTCTAAGCTGATGACAACTCCTAGGTCATGTGGCCAGCATGACTGCATGGAGTGTCGTTACCTTCCTACAGAAGCATACCTATTGATTTACTCACATTTGCATGTTTTCAAACTACTAGGTTGGCAGAAGCCGAGGCTAACAGCGTGAGCTCACCCCGCTCCCCAGATTCGAACCGCCAACCTTTCAGTCAGCAAGTTCAGCAGCTCAGCGGTTTAACCCGCTGCACCACCAGGGGGCCTAACATTAGAAAATACAATGGCAAATTAAAGCAGTGATGTAGATTTTAAAAGCATACTTAATGTGTGGATATCAGGGGCAGGATACTATTTGACTTCTGGAGCAGGCCCCACCGCCTCATTTGACACATAATGCTCCATATTGGGAAGGCCACATAAAGGAGGTTAAAGCATCATGTAATAAGTAAAAGCTAGGGTTTTTTTTATGTGAAACTCTAGTGAGGCTCTTTTCTTACCTTTTCATCACTAACTTTTAGGGTTTTTGTTAGAAGTAGCAGCAAGAGATTAGTCCAGGCCTCTCGGTGACTTTCTGAGTTCACAGTGATAAAGTAGGCCAGTGCTTCACTGCATACACTATAGGAAGTTTATGCATATAATCAGTACACAGAAATAGGAACAGCAAGTAAGTAGAGAACAGAAATTGCTACTTCCCCTCAAAACTATCAATACAAGAGGGAGTTCTGCTGCACATACCTTAATGATAAAAGAAAAGTGACATTGAGAACCCAAAATCTCAATTTTATTATTTAACTTTTTATTAATTTTTATTCCCCTAATGCTGCTACCAATCTTGAAAGTAACCACATACAAATTGGTGATTTTTCCCACCTGCTTCCAAAAGGCTTTCCTTTTACCTCCAAGGACACATCAAACTACTCTATTCACTTGTGGAGTGATTTTCTTTCCCCGCCTCAAACAATTTTCCTCACTAGCTGAAATCAAACCTAACAAAATGCATACTTGCACTGTATATTGCGATCACAGATTGTGAGCTGTCATTGGCCTAGTCACTCTAAGACTAGAAATAATACTTACTTCAGCAGTCTCTCTTGTATAGCTTATGAGCATTGACAATGGAAGTTGGTGTCTCTGTTATCAATGAGGCAGTTAATCTGGTCTAGATTTCAGTTTGAATTTTAGAAATGCTGTGAAGGACACTGAATCTATATGGGGGATAGGGTTCACCCTCTCCCCTTGACTTTACTGTTAGAAGCTTGCACTGTACATTGGCATCATAAACCATGAGCTGTCTTTGGTCTAGTCACTCTAAGACTAGAAATAATACTTACTTCAGCAGTCTCTCTTGTATAGCTTCCCAGGAGTCTCTGCGGTTTTCATCAACATACATTCTGAAAAGTATTCTCAGACAGCAAGCCAAACTGCTGGTCTCTTGTTTCAAAAGGTTAGGTTTTGATTTACCCTTGAAACCTAGAAATTAAGGACAGTAACACAGCCACATGGTCTTAAGATGCTGAACATCAGTAAATAAGCAGAAGTAAAGGGGCAAAAGCACTAGATATATAGCTGTGCCAAATTTAAGCCATCTTCACCTTAGGAGGTTTCAAAAACAATTTTGGAAACAGATACAGGAGAAAATCATTACAAAAGAAGCATTTAGAGGAGCAAAGTGGTGAGACACTTCCTCTTCCCTCTTTCATGTTTTCAATTTTAGTCAGGTGTTCCTGAAGTATCTCTTTGGGTCAATTTAGGAGTTCAGGTACAAAAGGATTTAAATGAAACTGCATAGCCAAGCAGGTTTATAGAAACATATGCTTTGGCCCCAAAGTTTATAACACCTAGGAAGAACTTCCTGAGCTGTTCAGCAGTGGAACTCTCTGCCTCTGAGTGTGGTGGAAGTGCCTTCCTTGGAAGCTTCTAAATAGAGGGTGCATGGTCATATGTCAGAAGTACTTTCATTGTGCTTTTCCTGCATGGCAGCGGGATGGACTAGATGGCCCATGTTGTTTCTTCCAACTCTATTATTCTATGATTCTAACCCTGGTTTACACTAATAGATAGATAGATAGATAGATAGATAGATAGATAGACAGACAGACAGACAGACAGATAGATAGATTATGAGCAATATAATTTTTTGAATTACATCATAATACACCAGAAATATTAAAAATTAACTATGTATTTCTAATTACAAAAATGTGAGTCAAGCACTGAAAGGGTTAAATGGATACAATGACTCAGAAAACGCTGTAGTTCTATATAAGCAGGTGTATCTGTAGCTTAGTTTGCATCAGTGTTAGTACACCTCAGTGATAAGGCCTCAGTCTGAGAGAGCCCTTACTGCAGTAGTTCTCAACCTGGGGTCCCCAGATGTTTTTGGCCTTCAACTCCCAGAAATCCCAGCCAGTTTACCAGCTGTTAGGATTTCTGGGAGTTGTAGGCCAAAAACATCTGGGGACCCAAGGTTGAGAACCACTGCTTTAGTGTGAGAAGGCCTCAGTGGGAGAAAGGCCTCAGTGTTAGTAGGCCTCAGTGTGAGAGAATGTCTTGTGAGAGAGCCCTCAGTATGAGAAGGTCTCAGTGTGAGGTAGGCGACAGTGTGTTAGAATGCCTCAGTATAAGAAGGTCTCGTGTGTGAAGTTCCACTGAACTTTATTTGTGTCATGGAAACCTTGTTTTTGTAAATAGTGCAACCATATTATTTGCTATAAAGAAAAGTTTCCTATGGAAGAGATAACATTGGTCTGTGTGATTTTTGTTCTATTTATCACTTGTGGCTACTGGTGGTGGGTCACACTGCTGATAATAAGTTACTCTGCTATGCATTCATGGGAAGGTATTTCGTTATTAAGCCCACTCACCCAACGTATTATACTTAGCTTTAAAAAATCATAAATAATTATTTAGCCTGATTAGAATGACTCGAAAAGCCTAAATGAATGTAACCTGAAAGAACAGTAATTTAAGCATTTTTCAAAAACCATCTGTTCCACAGTCTTCTATGCTTACCTGCTCTCCAGAGGACAGTCCGTTGTTCATAATTTGAGTTGAAAGCTTTTGAGAATGAATGTGATTCTTGCAGGCAGTCCAGCAGCTTGAACAGATGTTGGGAAGACATGTACTTGTACATTCCTTGGTCTTCAGTGTCAATGTGAATGTCTGTATCTAGTGTGTCCCTCTGAAGAGGAAAATCTAGTTACAGGAAGTATTGACTGAAGAACTACGTCATCACAACTTCCTTTACTGCAAAGTTGGGGCTTTCTTTTAGTCTGGGGGTCAAATACAATAGTTCTCAGGCTACATTCCAGTAGTGGACAGGACCATAATTTAAATTGAAAGTGCTTACAGTCAATAAGTGGGCCTTTGGAGAGAAACTTCAAATTTCAAAATGGGAAAAATGGTTGAGAAGTCACTAAACAGTGGGGTCACAGCAAAGGATATTTTGCTATCTAAGATCAGAAGGGGTAATTTCACTCCAAAAACATGAGATTCTCTACTCTCCTGTTAGAATATTCTATAAATGTTTTCATTAAACAAGGATGGTCAACTCTCTACTTTGGAGGCCCTATTTTTTCCTTTTGTACTATAACCAAAAACCAAACCAAACCAACCAAAGTCTTGTGCGTAAGATATACAATGAACCTAAGCATTTACTTTGTGTTTCTGAAATGAACTTGCATTCCACACAATAATCCATTCCTGAACATATCTGCAGTATAATTGGAGCAGAGAGTGTTGGAGACATTTAACAGTTGGGAACTTGAACTCCTTACTGTCTGCTTAAAATCATACAGGTAGGCACAGCTTTGTAGTTAACTGATTGCAGAGGGTTTTTATCAATCAGTGGTTGCTTTGCAGATGCAGAGATTATGATTGGAAACGGATCTGGGAGAGAGTTTACTCTCTGGTCCATTTCCTGGGCATTTAAATACAACTGGCCTCTTAGGTTGTCCCTGCCTCCAAGATATGCTACCAGGAGAGAAAGCTGGACTGCTTCAATCCTCAGTGCAGACGCACAAGCGGGGTCTCAGTTGAGCAGAAGCTTTGGTTTGTACCAAGTTCTTCTTTGCCCTCTTCCATATTTTGTGATCAAATTTAATGTATCAGTGAAATACAACTGTTGTTTCATATATCAGTGAACAGAACAGTTGCAATGCTGGAGAAATATTCATATTTCTTACCTGAGCAGCAGCCATATGCTCAGCATCTTCCTTCTTACTTGTTGCTGGATAGAATACTATGTTATCGATGGTCTGTATTAACTCCAGCTGCACAACACATTTGATGAGGAGACTGGCAAAGAGTTTCTGGTCTGAAAGAAGATCAGTATGTTAGATTTTAATCCACAGCAATTCCAGTTTTGTCCACTAACGCCTGGTGTTGTTACCTAAGGTCCATCAGACCAACTGCTCAGTCCCAAGAAGACTTCTTTCCATGCCTGTATTGAACAAATTGTTTAAAAACATTGGTATTTCCTAAGATACTGTATATCAAATTTAGATTAGTTCCATGCTATTTACAATTGTCTTCTTTGGATGCAGTATCCTATTGTGCATTTGAGCGCAGTCATGATTCTTCTCTGTATTACCGTATGTTGTTACATCAGTGCTCCCTACACTCAGGTTTTATAAAATATTGTGAATGGCAATAAATACAAAGGAGCATCACAGCATATGCTAAGGGAGGAGAATATCAAAGGTCCTCATGGAGATCAAGAGTGGGAACTGTGCAGCCTTCTCGATGTTGTTGGATTACAACTCTCAAAACTCTTAACCACTGGCTATACTGGCTAGTACTGCTGAGCTTACTATTCAACTACTGTTGAGGAGATATGCATCATATCTGTCTCTTATGCAATGGTTCTGCAGAGAAAGTTGCTGATCTTAACAGCCGTCCAGTGCAAGGAGGCCTGAATGAAAATTTGAGAGGCCTGGCGTGTCAAATACAGAAGGGCAGACTTACTTGAATAAGGGCCACTTTTCCAGCTGTCATCTGTAGGATTTGAAAACTGGCTCTGTCCTCTTTCGGAAGCATTTTTATCAATACTGCTTAAAGACTGACGATCCAGATCCAGATCCTTGAAGTAAAACAGAACCTGAGATAATGCTTCTTTCAAAATTAGTCACATCTCTATTTCATGGCAGGATAATTAAAATGTATATATAATTTATATATTACTGCAAACACTAATGGTTATTTTTCAGTGTTTTCCAACATCTTTGAATGATATCTCTGAATAGTACTTGACGGATAGATAAATATCCTCATAATTACTGGAAAAATCTCAAAAACCTAAGTAGAAAGAGTGAAGCTGTTCTTGTTAAGATGGGAGGAGGACTTATAATTATATTCATTTCTTGCTATACCGTTTATCTGTAGTAGAGTGTATCTTGTCCATATTGTAAACTTGCTTTCTCTCAACTCTAGTAAAGTTTATTAATACTTTCAAGATGTGGTGGTTTGTCTAGTCCATCACTGCACACAAGGAATTCATTTTACAAGTATAACTAATATGTTTTATTGTCACACTAAAGGTCCACAGACATCAAAAGCAATCATATAGATAGAGCTTCATTTTGCCCATACTTTTTTGCAATGCAGGAATGAAGAACCGGATCACTTACCAAGTGCTTTTCTGATGAATCATCTTCCATTCCTGCTGGTCTCCATGTCAGTAAGCTTAAAGGAAGAAACAATTAGATCAGAAATATAACCAAGTATGGAATCACTTGGCACTCTTTAAATTTGGAATTACTTACACATGAGGAATTGTAGTTTTGAAGATCTCAAGCATACAGCTGCACGTTTGGTCCCAGACTGCAGAACTGAATTTTTGACCATTAAATATGACCAGGCTTTCTAGGCAGTTTGTCCCTGATCGGGCTAGTTGTTCATTATCTGAAGAAAAACAGTAAGTATCTTAAAAATATCCCTCAACTGAACAAAAAATAAAGATCATGCTATCAACAGAGAAGTTGAAATTGCTTACTTCAACCAATTAAAAACACAAGTGCAAGGCTTTTGAGCAATTAACACATTAGTTTTAAATAATCTACCAGATGACTGGACTTTTTTATTGGAACGATCAGAAAGAGATTGAGAATTTGATTACTTATATGAATTTTTTTATACCAGAACAAATATTTCTGCACAGAATTATTTAAAACACAAATGGAGCACTAAAATTATTATTCACACAGGACAGTCTAAGTTTTCTTCATAAAGCAAATATTTTCATAAATGATTTTTCCTCAAAGTGGAGATGGAGAAGTGAAAAATTGGTTACAAAGAAACTTTGTTCCACATTTACTCGTTTTGAATAAAGTGACATGTATGCAGATGAACTACCTTGTTTTACACACCAGTGTAACTGTGCAAATATATCAGCAAGAAGAATCTCATTCAAAGCTTCATAGAACTGTGTGAATACATCACAAATGGCATAAAGTGCATGATTACAGGTAGTAGTCATCCATTCTGATTTCTGTTGAGAAAAACAGCAAGCCTTGATTGGAACAGATGTCTGACTAGAGAGTTTTGATCACATGAGAATGATCATTACAAAGGTTATACAGCAAAGAGTTCCTTGTATCCCTCTCCCTCATCTACGCTGTTGACATTTAGATTACAGATTTGTATTGTCATCTGTATTTTTTATATCTTGAAACAGAATTTTTATATGCAGCACACTATGACATGACAACTGGGCTGCTTAATGAAAAACAGGATAGAAACATTCTTAAAAAAGAGGGGGTGTCATTTAATCACAGTTTGGCTTCAAATTGTTTGTAAGAACACAATTTTGTTTGCTACTATAAAACAGGTTTTAATACCTCTGTTTGCTGTTCTGGGAGCTTCATGTTGTCAAATATCCTAAACACAATTCGAAACAGGTCCTGCCACCAGTGTTTTTCAAAAGTGTGGCCATAGCTCTTCATGATTTCAAACATAACCGTCAGACCTCTATAAAATGAGAATAGAATTCATCAAATAATACAAGTCAACAGGGAAGAATGCTCATAATTAGACAGAGCCAAAACTTTATAGTTTTATTACCTTGTCCGCACATCCAGTTTGCATCGATTGATGATACAAGAAAGCTCAAACAAAATAGGGAACCATCCTCTGACCCAAACCCTATCGCCAGTAGCCACATTCATGTCATCACTTGTATATTCTCTCAAAACCTGTGAATAGATAAGATCTGATAAACAGACAAATACATCAGTTCTGAAGAGCCTCTCATTTGGAATTTTGACTTTGGAATTTTGAAACTCGGGATTGCTATTTGATGAAAGCCAAAACCACTCTTTTGAAATGGTGAGGCATGTAGTACAATGTTCCAATGAGTCATGGAAGCCACAGAAATTCAGATGTTTGTATGAAAAAGCACAAGAAACAAATAAGGATAAAATACCTGAGGCCTTTCTGAAACGTATTTTGCACAATAACGGATCAATCTAATAGCTTCCATGCAGGTATCTGGAAAGGCAGCATTACAGGCAAATTCTGATAAACATTTTACAGCATCCTGGAAAGAATCTATTGCTGCAGGGAAATGCTGTTGAAAAATATTGGCTGTGGGAGAGAAGAAAAATGAAATGAACGCAGTGGCCACATCTAGAAGTACTTCTCCTCAGTAAGAATTTTTGGAAATGTAGTTAAAATGTAAGTCTTTTTGTGAACCAGCCCAACAACACTAAAAATTACATTACAATCTGAATTTCAGAGAAGTAGGTAACAAATAAAAAATGTATTGTTTTTATATTATTATTAGTCTCAGTATTAGTAGTGGTAGTAAAATTTAATTACAATTACGTTGGTGGCAGTTCTGAAAGCTGACCATGTATACAAGCCTGCATGATCTACAACTCATTACAAAGTTCGCTAGTCTTTCGGAGCATAGTGTGTAAGGATATGGTATTCTATGACATGGCAGGTGCAGTGCCACATTGCACCATATAATAATCTTATTACAAATGAAATAGAGATCATTTGTCAGTGACTATTTTTCGTAAATGCTTCATATAATATTTCTTGGTCTCTTTATCTTACAAAGATGTCAATGCAAAGTAGGTTGAGAATAGAAGAATCCAATCCAAATAAGCTGTTGCTATAATGGGAAATATGATGAACTAGTGTGCAGCTGTATCCTCACCAGTTCTGGCATACTGGAACTTGCTCTATACATCTGTTATTATTTACAATAATTCTCAGTATTGCCATAATATAATACATGGTAAGAGGATGGATAGGAGGAGCACCTCTCCTTGACCACGACCCTTTCAGGGGAGTAGTAGCAATATTTAATGCCAAATGTAGCCTTTCTTTTTTCTTCTGTATTAGATACAAGAAGGTATTTAAATATTACGAACGCCTTTTCTTAAACAGGAGAGTATTTAAATGTTAAACACCTTCTGAGCAGCCCTAAATAGTGACCTGTGCTTTGAATGATTGTTGGGGAAATGTCCAAATTGGCAAAAATGACATTTCATCCTACCTACTTTGCCTTGGGTCCTTAAGGCTCATTCGCTGCTGGAGTCCCCAAGACATTTCCCAACTTGGAATCTAGGCCCAGATTCAGAAGAGCTTCCCCTTCCCCTACATGTTATATTATGTTCCTGAGTTCCATCAGTTGTTGATCCTATTTCAGAGATTGTTTGGGACATTGCTAATTATTTCTTCAATTGTCAGAGGCTAGCCTCTACCACTTTCATCTGGCACACTTACTAACTATATGGCCTGTCGTTTGGAATGCCAGCTCCACAATATTTCCATCATGATCAGATGCTGCTTGATGAAATACTGCGAAGATATTCTTCCACCCTGAGCGAATATTAGCAGCTTGAGAGTTCACCATCTGAGCAATGCAGCGTATTACCATGTCTCGTATTGTTGGAGATCTGAAAAACAAATAGTATCTCATTTGTAGACTTCTGCATGATATTATGTGTATTATTCTGCAGGGGCAGAAGAGAGCAGATTAACTTTTCAATCTGTAAGAAGCACAAACCTGTTCTTCTTCATGATATGCTCAAAAGGCCTCAAGAAATCCTTTTGAAATCGGAAATTAGCCAGTTCTCCCTTTTCAAGAAACTTCATTGAAAGCTGTCTCAAAGAATCAACAGCGAAGATGGCAACATCTTCATTAGGATTGCAACCGACCTGTAAAGGAGAAATAATAATTTCCTCAAATAAAATATTATGTGAATACGGGACTATATAAATCCCAACCTTGTCAATTAATGTAGGACACAAGCACAATGTCAATGGCCAGTCAGAAAAAAAATTGAGAATTGGGATTCTCACAAAAATCAGGACTCTTCAGAATCTCCAACTCTCAAATCCTGAGCACATTTTGGGAGCAAATGCCAATAATTTGAGTATAGGTTATTTCTCTGTAAGTCAGTATACAAAGTCCAGAAAACTGGGGAAACATGACTATTCAAATTTAATAAAGAACAAAAATAATCCTGGCAAAATAACATACAAGTACAGCAAACAAACATAAATCCAACCCACACCTAGAGCAAAATAGTCAGCCCCATTATTGTCCAAGTCCTTTCAGCATCATACTGACACATAACAATAAAGTATGAAACTATATTTATCCTCTGCAGATGTCTCATGTCTCACACTGAGAGTTAGAACTTTAAGTGTCCATTCTGAGAGTGGTTGCCTGAAAAATTAACTTCATGAATCCTTTGCCTGCGGGATCCATTATCTGCTGCAAAAAATGATTTTAAGTGTTTTTAAGAATTTAGTATGTTGTAAATGTGTGAAATGTACTATGTCATGTTTATTTAAGTTGCTATTTTTATAATTTTATTGACTTTGTTTTTGACTTACTATACATTATTCTTACATTGAATGTTTGCCAGTTACCGCAGGAACAGAAAAGACAGCAAAACAAATACCACAAGGGTGCTAACCCTTCCTTGTGCTATCCAAAGCTGAAAAAAAATACGTATTATTGGCTGGAGTTACACTGAAAAAATGTACGTTTCTGACTTACAAACAAATTCAACTTAAGAACAAACGTACAGAACCTATCTTGTTCGTAACTTGGGGACTTCTTGTAAATGAACGTGTATGATAAGAATGATCCAAAGTTTTGCCAATATATGTTCTTCAAGCTGCCTAAGCTTCAAAGGACATTGGACTTATTGAATTTCCTAGCTATAGGACTGCCAGTTCTTTGCATCAATCTCAATTTATGATCCACACTTTTGAGCTAGTGAATGTGAGGAAAAATAATTCATGGTCCATCTGTTACAATACAAGCCAATATTTCACATGATGCAAACAAACGTTGAATCAAAACTGGGTCGATCTTAAAACGAAGCAACAGAATAACCAAATAGCTCTGGTGTTTGAACAGATACTTAAAATGGGATGTTTTATTGATCTAAAGTTTTGAAATACCTTATTGAAATGATCTCCAATTACATGCCATATCCTGGACCACTGGAGCCTAATTCTGTTCATGTTGTAATAGGAAATTTCAACAATCTTCTGCAGACTGAACATGCGTGGATGGTGAGGGGAAGCCAGTTCATCCATGGAAACAGCACACAACCATCGGACAAAGTCAACTGAAAATGTTATGAGAAGAGTTATTTCAGTAAACGTAACACCATGCAACTGTTGTTTATTTAAGAATATCTTTTCAACATATACCTATTGCATTTCCATCCAGTCTAGTTGAGCCTGTAAATATCCTGTGGAAAAAATGAGAGAGTTTAGCTGTGTGATGCAGAATACTAAAAAAGCTCATTAATATTTAAATGTAGCATGGCATGCAGAATAGAGGAGTAATATCAGGGAAGTCTTAATTTCATACCATTTTACACCGATCACAGAATCATTATTATTGTGTGTGCCATGAGATGAAGAATGGGGCCAGAAAGAAACTTGTCACTAGGAATAGCAATTTCTCTATTTTTAGGATTCCTCTCTTGACTTCTCCATCCAAATCCAATTTTTAATACTTGCGTACCACAGGCCAGGAGTGGTGTTAATATTTCATTTGCTAGTACTGAAATTACTGAAGTTTATGTTGAAAACTACTTGTGATAACCATGCAGATAAGCATTTCAATATTTCATTGAGAAAAATATCCCATATTACCTGTCCACTGCTACCACCACACTTTGTGAACTGGTTTCTCCTACAGATTCCTGAATGCTGGCTATTTGCCTTCTATCAACACCTCCACCAACAAGGTTACCTATTGAAAAAGACACAAAAATTGAATTGGTATATACCAAGGAAAGAAAAACATGGCAACCATCAACTAGGTATGATCATGCCGATTAAGAGCTAAAACACATATTGTAAACAGAGGGGGGAGGCTCAAACAATTAAGAAATGACAGGGTTAAATTTTCTCATATAATATTGCATGCAATACAATGACTAAGGAAATATTTATTTACTGCTTGCTCCAAGAATGCCAATATGAGCAAGGATATGTTAAATGAGCAAGGCTATGTTAAATATGAGCAATATGAGCAAGGCTATGTTAAATACACAGACCAGTTAGATATGATCTCACTAACATTCCTAGTGAATATACAGTGGAAGTGAAGAACAGATTTGAAGGACTAGATTTAGTAAACAGAGTCCCAGAAGAACTATGGACAGAAGTCCGCGACATTGTTCAGGAGACGGCAACAAAGTACGTTCCAAAGAAAAAGAAAACCAAGAAGGCAAATGGTTGTCTGCTGAGACACTGGAAGTAGCCCAAGAAAGGAGGAAAGCAAAAGGAAACAGGTGATAAGGGGAGATATGCCCAGTTAAATGCGCAATTCCAGAGGTTAGCCAGAAGAGATAAGGAACTATTTTTAAATAAGCAATGCATGGAAGCGGAAGAAGACAACAGAATAGGAAGGACAAGAGACCTCTTCCAGAAAATTAGAAACATTGGAGGTAAATTTCAGGCAAAAATTGGTATGATAAGAAACAAAGATGGCAGGGACCTAACAGAAGCTGAAGAGATCAAGAGAAGGCGGCGAGACTATACAGAAGATCTGTATAGGAAGGATAATAATATTGAGGATAGTTTTGACGGTGTGGTGAATGAATTAGAACCAGACATCCTGAGGAGTGAGGTTGAATGGGCCTTAAGAAGCATTGCTAACAACAAGGCAGAAGGAGACGACGGGATCCCAGCTGAACTGTTTAAAATCTTAAAAGATGATGCTGTCAAGGTGATGCATGCCATATGCCAGCAAATATGGAAAACACAAGAATGGCCATCAGACTGGAAAAAATCAACTTATATCCCCATACCAAAAAAGGGAAATGCGAAAGACTGCTCCAACTTCCGTACAGTGGCCCTTATTTCTCATGCCAGTAAGGGAATGCTCAAGATCCTGCAAGGAAGACTCCAGCAATACATGGAGCGAGAGTTGCCAGATGTTCAAGCTGGGTTTAGAAAAGGTAGAGGAACGAGAGACCAAATTGCCAAAATCCGCTGGATAATGGAGAAAGGCAGGGAGTTTCAGAAAAACATCTACTTCTGCTTCATTGACTATTCTAAAGCCTTTGACTGTGTGGATCATAATAAATTGTGGCAAGTTCTTAGTGGGATGGGCATCCCAAGCCACCTTGTCTCTCTCCTGAGGAATCTGTACAAGGACCAAGTAGCAACAGTCAGAACTGACCATGGAACAACAGACTGGGTCAAGATTGGGAAAGGCGTACGGCAAGGCTGCATCCTCTCACCCAACCTTTTTAACTTGTATGCAGAACACATCATGCGATGTGCGGGGCTGGATGAATGCAAAGCTGGGGTGAAAATTGCTGGAAGAAACATTAACAACCTCAGATATGCAGATGACACCACTCTGATGGCCGAAAGCGAGGAGGAGCTGAGGAGCCTGCTAATCAAGGTGAAAGAAGAAAGCGCAAAAGCCGGGTTGCAGCTAAACGTCAAAAAAACCAAGATTATGGCAACAAGAATGATTGACAACTGGAAATAGAGGGAGAAACCGTGGAGGCCGTGACAGACTTTGTATTTCTAGGTGCAAAGATTACTGCAGACGCAGACTGCAGCAGGAAATCAGAAGACGCTTACTTCTTGGGAGGAGAGCAATGTCCAATCTCGATAAAATAGTGAAGAGTAGAGACATCACACTGGCAACAAAGATCCGCCTAGTCAAAGCCATGGTATTCCCTGTAGTAACCTACGGATGTGAGAGCTGGACCTTAGGGAAGGCTGAGCGAAGGAAGATAGATGCTTTTGAGCTGTGGTGTTGGAGGAAAGTTCTGAGAGTGCCTTGGACTGCGAGAAGATCCAACCAGTCCATCCTCCAGGAAATAAAGCCCGACTGCTCATTGGAGGGAAAGATACTAGAGACAAAGTTGAAGTACTGTGGCCACATCATGAGGAGACAGGAAAGCCTAGAGAAGACAATTATGCTGGGGAAAGTGGAAGGCAAAAGGAAGAGGGGCCGACCAAGGGCAAGATGGATGGATGGCATCCTTGAAGTGACTGGATTGACCTTGAAGGAGCTGGGGGTGGTGACGGCCGACAGGGAGCTCTGGCATGGGCTGGTCCATGAGGTCACGAAGAGTCGGAGACGACTGAACGAATGAACAACAACATGTTAAATGATGTAAAAGTATTGTCTCCTGTTCAGTAGCTGAATGAGTTACTGTCACTAATTCAGAAATATAGAAAGCTTGAAGCAGTTACCTGCTTGAAAAGAAAGAACTGGTCAATCATTACTTTGCCATGAATTAATAAGCTTGTTCTCTATGACATAAAAGATGAGGTTACTTTCCTCACCTAGTCCAAGACCCATGAATTCTTCTCCTCCAGATGTGAACCCTTTGAGGCTCCCTTCTCTTTCACGTCCAGAGCCAGAAAGGTAACGTGTTTTAACTCCAGTTCCTATTAGTTGTGCTAGCTCCAGTTGGCTAATGCATTTCAAAATCTATAAATACCAATAAAATAAATACCAATTTCAGTACCATGGTTGTGAAAGCTCTACACGAGGAAGAACTCCCTCCTTCACTTCAGTACAAACAATGCTCCATGTGCTGTGAAAGTCTGGAAGTGACAATGTTTCTAGAGCTCAACAATATCTGATTTTGGCCTTGAAGGCAAATATGCACAAGAATCTAGATGAGGGATGTTCTGCATTCTAAAACATTAAAAATGCGTTAATATCCAGAGCTCATAAACAGTAGATGAACACTAGTGAGCACAAACCAAACCTTCCCGTGACTTTTACCTCATGCCAAGAATTTCCCAAGTAGTTTCCATCAGTGTGTGCCACTGTAATAAGAGTTTTAATTGTATCTATATTCTTCTGTTTCATTTCTGTAATGCTGGAACTTGCTGTCAACAAGGAAAAGCGAGCAAGTGCCTGTACGTAAGCATCCCGTTCAAGCTACAACAAAAGCAGGAAAAATAAAACAAATCACAACCAAACCTTTTCCTACAATCCCCACACACTACTACAAGAGATAGCAAATGGGGTGATGACAAACCTCTATTCATACTGTGATGTTAAAAAACTAGCTAGAGTGATGAATAAAAACATGCAGGTGTAAGGGGAATAAATATAATCCATGAAAAATGGTATTCAGATTGGAACAAGCAATTGGTTTCTCAATCAGATAAAGAAACAGGTACATATTTAGAATATTATTTATTTATTTATTGAATTTCTATACTGCTTTTCTCACCCCTGGGGGGACTCAAAGTGGTGTAGAACATAATAAATGGCAAAAATTCAATGGCAAACATACATATAAAAGCAATACATAACATATCTAAATCAATAACATGTAACTATTCACTAGAATAATTTAAAACTGTACAAAAACATCAAACATGGACATAAAACATTTAAGACATTGTACCAATCCCATGGTTGTCATTTAGCTGCTTCAGTAGTTCTATCACTCGCGGAATGGCTGTCTGGGTAGCCAGGTTTTAGTTGTTCTCTGAACACTAGGACACTTGCTGGGGAGGGAGTTCCACAGCAGAGAAAGTCGTGTCTCTTGTCCCCACCAATCGCACCTGTGAGGGTGGTGGGACCGAGAGCAGGACCTCCTCAGATGATCTTAACACTCGAACTGGTTCTAAAAGGGACATGTGTTCGGACACATAAGCTAAAGCCAGCACTTTGAATCATGCTCAGCAGCAGAATGGTAGCCAGTAGGGCTGTCAAAACAGGGGGGTTGTATGCTCCCTGAACACTGCTCCAGTAAGGAACCTGGTTGCCACTTGTTGGACTATTTGAAGCTTCCAAACAGTCTTCAAAGGCAACCCCAAGTACAGTGTGTTGCAGTAGTCTATTCAAGATGTAGCACTGACCACATTGGCCAAGTCTGACTTCCCAAGGTATGGGCGCAGCTGGCACACAAGTTTTAATTGTGCGAATGCTCCCTTGGCCATCACCGAAACCTGAGGTTCCAGGCTCAGTGATGAGTCTAGTAGAACTCCCAGGCTGTGAACCTGTGTCTTCAAGGGGAGTATAACCCCGTCCAGCAGACTGTAACCCTATACCCTTTTTGGCCTTATGACTGAGCAGAAGTACCTCTCTCTTATCTGGACTCAGTTTCATAGTTTCCATTTTTAAAAAAGGAATCCCTATATATTGTACTCAGATAGGGATTCTTACCCCAATTTTTGACAGTAAGTACTTTCTGTTTCTCTCTTGTTTGAGCGTCTGATTCTATTTTGTATTGTGAAGTTGTTAAAGCTTTCAAACAGTTATAACATTATCCATCACACAGAAAGTGTAGAAAGAAGAGGGACTAGAAGCAGGTAGAGTGAGGTGACATGGTTATTGCAATCTTACTTTGAGAGAAGAGGTGGCACAAACCGGTACATAAGATCACCTGCCACACACACACATAAAGTCCTATCCTAAGAAAAAGCTGAGCTATACCTAACATCTACTATGATTGTAATGAGTTGGATAATTTTATTTTAAATAAGATTAATTGTATAATTGCAGGTTCTAACTTTTTAGGTCAAAACTCAAACCTCAAGATGACTGAGGTATTTTATTTGGCTGTCGAGATACAGATACTTTTTAAAGACATATTTTATGAAACACCATCTTCAGAAGCTCTAATAAGTATTGCCCTTCAGTATCCTGGGTAATAGGTGTACTCTGTACCAACCTGCATGCCAAAAATACAGGCTATTCGGATAGCACATCGTATTCCTTCTAGACACAATGATGCTACTTCAGTATCATCACAGTTTTGAAGGCCAACACTGTAGGCAGCCAGTAAGGGAGTCCACACAAGCTAAGAAAAGAAAAGAAGAGCTTCAGTAAATGTAATGCTTGTAATCCTATCGTATTTTGCCATTGGCAATACCTATCATAGAAAGCAGTCACATCAACAAGAATTTATTTTTCGTGTGATACCGAATAGCAATGGCACAGTATTTTTTAAAATTCATGAATATTTGCCTAATCTCTCTGCCCTTCATTATTTTCATTATGAAGATTTTTTAAAAATGAATGCCTTACAAATATGGCCTTGATTCTATATTTGAAAAAAACTTCTGCTAAACTTTTAGGTAGCCATGACTTTAATCCCATACTCACTTTGAACATGGGTCTGACGTGATCCAGGTGAGTTGCACTAGTGAAAGGTGCTTTTGCATGACTGACTGCCTCCATTAGAGCTTTAGCGGTCTTTGCCATTTGTTCCATTTCCATGTTGTACAACAACCGCCGTTGCTTCTCACTGGCTACATCTAAGGATATATGAAGCTACATAAGTATGTCTTTCCAACATATTTATGCTAAATTCTAGACACCGGAATACAGGTTTTAAAAATAAAACTTTTTACTCTCCCAAAAAAACAGCAACTTAAAATATTCATCTGTAACTGAACATACTAAACACTGAAGACAAAAGTATGTAATCCATATTGAAGTACTTATATTTCATTTCCTAGAAAGTAGTAAAATTAAATGCATATTTTCACTTTATAATTTAGAATATAATTGTTTCTGCAGCTCAGTTTTTATTCACAGTACATTAAGTTATAACAATTGTAGAGCTATCGCTTATGAATTAACATTTTTACAAATATTTGCTACTAGCTTTGGGTAACTGGGTATGCCCGGGTTATTTAAAAGTGTTGGGTCTGTGTGGCAAGTGTAGTCCAGATCCTCCATTGGTGGGGTTCACTGTGCTTTCTGAATACAGGGTGAATTACAACTCCCACCAGGGTGGGTCAGCCCCCCCAACCCCTCCCCCCCAACCAGTATGTTCTGTTGGTCATCAGGGGTCTGTGTGCCAAGTTTGGCTCAGATCCGTCATTGATGGGGTTCAGAATGCTGTGAGCTTTAGAAAAGAATAGGAAAGGGTTAAAAGAGAGGCAGTGGGTGGGGCTATGCAAATTCCACACCAATGGAGAGAGTAAGGAAGACTGGTACATCTGTGTTGGAGGAAATACATAAAATATAGGAGGAAATAGTCCCTATATGAAAGCTTTCACTTGGGTGGTGGGCAGTATGGTGTTTATGGAGGACATTGGTGGGGTTCTTGTAGATGTTCACAGTGCTCACTATAACCTGCAATGGCATTGGAGGGAGGGCCATTGGTGTCTCCTGACTGGTGGGTGCCATAGCTGTTTGTGGAGGCAGGAGTTTGTCTGTATAGGTGGACGCCCCTGCCACATACACACAAACAGAATTTCACTTTTATTATGTGTATAGATATACAATCTTTCCTTTTGTAAGTAGCAAATAACTTTGCTCGCTTTGTCACTCCAGTCCCAAGGAGTAATGGGAAAATAATACTTTTGGCACATATTGGGAAGGTATTAAAAAGCCTAGTATTTCTGAGGGTTTAAGACTAAAAATCATACTTGGCTTAGTAGATTTGGTTGCAATTGTATATCCTTTTGTGTCCTTCATTGCAATTTTCTTTCCTTCTATTTCATCATATATACTAGATAAATATTCCTCCGGGAGATCTTTACTGTCATTGATCCCACGATTCATCTTTATGTATTGCTCTTTTGTCATCTTATTTTTTACCTGTAAATGCAAAACACAAAGAAAGTGTGAGAAAACTTATGAGAGTTGCTCAGCAATCCGTCTGCAACTATTGTGTAAAATATTTTGAAGATATATACCTGGGGACTGTGCAGGTCTGTTGTTAACATTATAATAGAATATGCTAAAACATATGCAGTGTCAGCACTAGCGAATAGAGTTTGTCTGAAAAGGAGATAAGAATAAAGTTATAGAATACTACATGTTTTTGTTGTCTTTTACCATGCTCAGATCTCATTTGAAGATTTTTTTTAAAAAAAAATCTGTTTGAGCCTTTTCTGTTGTAATCATCATCATCATTATCATCTTTATTTATATCCCGCCACCATCTCCCTGAAGGTGCGGCTCACAAAAACATTCAAAAGTGGAACACACATAAAATACAACTGTACATGAGCATATAAAACAATAACAATGTATATTTACATAACAATTTTACATAAACATCATATAAACCCTTATTTAAAAATTCAATAAAACAGGGTGCTCCAGAGTCCAAAAGATTGCGCCCAATTCTGGGCACCACAATTGAAGGGAGATGTTGACATGCTGGAATGTGTGCAGAGGAGGGTGACTAAAATGATCAAGGGTCTGGAGAACAAGCCCTATGAGGAATGGCTTAAAGAGCTGGGCATATAGAACTTCCTAAATGTGAGAGCTGTTCAGCAGTGGAATTCTCTGCTCCTTGAGTTTGGTGGATGCTCCTTCTTTGGAGGCTTTTAGACAGAGGCTGGATGGCCATCTCTCAGGGGTGTTTTGAATGCAATTTTCCTACTTCTTGGCAAGGGGTTGGACTGGATGGCCCACGAGGTCTCTTCCAACTCAATGATTCTATGACTTTGGTCAAGAACAACAAAGATATTCCATACTTCAAAAACCCAAGAAATTCCATCCAAACTCCTCTATGCTTGCTGAATGTCCAGCAAGAACTTTCACACATATCCCTGCACATATAAGGCAATTCAGTGGCTGAGAACAGTAACATGAACTGTGACTAGGTTTCTCGCTTCATACAATCAGATATCTTTCTATAATGTTCATGGTGCAGGAGAGTCACAAAAAGATTTAACTTAATATGCCAGAGAATGATGGGAACTGTGGCATATTGAGAGCAATTTTCAATCTAACAAGCCACAGAAAACAGTTTAAGAATTACTCCTGGATTCTTATTCAGGCTTGTTGGCCTGTATTACAGTAACTTACGTTATAAACAATGTATGCCATTTGTTTTCAGGGAGCCAGAATTCTTACATTCTTTTGCTTATAGTGACATCTGAATGTGCAAGTTTGTCTCAACAATTTTATAGAATTTCAGCTGTGGGCAGAAAAATCAGGCAATTCCAACTGGATGGCCCAACCACAAGGGTTTTTCCTCAAGGGGCAAACCGAGAATGGGCAGCTTGGAAGTTCCTGAACAGACTCCGAAGTGGAGTGGGCAGAGCAAAAGACAGGCTGGCAAAATGGCACTACCTCCTAAAAGGATCCTCCACCTTGTGTGACTGTAGAGCAGAACAAACAACTCAGCATATGTATGCTTGCCCACAATGCCGTGCCTCATGCACAGAGGGATAATTGTTTAAAGCTACAGACAATGTGATTGCCTTTGCTTGTTTTTGGTCTAAAATTATTTAACCTCTTATGTTCCCTCTATTTTATCAGTTTTATACTTGCTTATTTATGCAATGCTCTTGACACAAAATAAATAAAACAAAATTGTGAAATATATTTCTTGTGAATTATTTTTTAATTATACATATAATTATGAATATTTTTTCTTGACAAACTTGGATAGTAAGAAGGATCATTAAGGTTACCCAAGTTATCCCACTTTTCTGAAACTGAGACTTCCAAACATGCATTCATTTCTATTATGATTTGTCTGATATGTTTCAAGTTACCCTTGGTTGCACTCAATATATCTAGCAGCAAACTTTTCCATTAATCTGTCGATCTTCTGGGCTTCACCAGGTAACCGAAATCCCTCCAGAAATATACGTAAAGCAGAGACAAAGTCCTTTCCACAGAAATCAAGAAGGTCTACGTAGGCATACATGACTTCCTTGTTAAACTTGTTACTATCCCCCAGGAATTCTCCCACTTGGTTCTATTAAGGAAAAACAAAGTAAAGCAACAAATCAAAGAAAAGCATGTATAAAACTATTACTCTCACGGATACTGCTTCAATTCCATTAAAAATAATGTTTCGCCATTATTGTTAAGGTTTTATTTGACACTCTTAGTTCCACAAGATTTCTGGGGAAAAACCCCCACCATTTTTATGGTATGAACTTACAGTTCCTTGTGGGAGGACTGATCAGTATCCTTTATTTTCTGTTCCTTTTTGTTTCTGCTCCTTACATCTGTGGCTATTCAATTTTTATTTATAATCAGCTAGAGCACATCATACCCAAATGACAAATGCCCTTTAGATTGGATGCGCTTGTCCATAGGATTTTTAAAATATTCCATTTGTTTGTTCTAGAGCACAGTTCCCAATACTCTTGGGATTTCACTGTCCACAACTGTTACAGTGCTTGCGACTTGTCCTGCTAGAGGAATTCTGAGCCTTGTCATTCTTTAGAGCTTGATGATCTTTCAGCCCCTCAAAGCAGTGGTTCTCAGGTTTCCTCTACAGCCTTTGTCCTCTTCTCTTCCTCCCTTATTAAAGTGGTTCAATTATAGACGCACTCAGCCACACTCTTCTAAATGTAACTACCTGATATTTGAGAAAAAAGCTATAATCAATGGGTAGCATTTGCCCTTCCCGATGTTGCAGAACTGTAGCCCCCAGAAGCTTTATTCAGCATGGTCAACGGCCAGGCATGCTGGTATTTGCAGTTGAATGACATCTGGAAGACTGCATAATTCACTTCTACTATGAACCTTAAACAAGACAACTTATTAATAAGCTTCATGGCACTATAACTGATATTAATATAGGAGCCAAGATGGTGTACTTATTTATTTACATTGCTTATATCCCGCCCATATCAGCCCGCAGGCGACTCAGGGCCTGCAGTGTTCTCAGTGTTGTGTTCTCAGTGTTGGAAAGCATGGCTGAAATCTTTACTTGGCCATTGGCTGCTTTGGCAATGCAATGGAAAATGCACTCTGAACAAAACTTGCCAATAAATTCCTTGGACAGGTTCACCTTAGGGTAGGCATAAGCTGGAATGACTTGAAGGCACACAAAAGCAAATTTAATATATACTGGAGACCTTGGGCACCAGTACAAAGCATCACTTATCATGAAAAGCCTCATCAATGTGATATTTACATACACTCACACACTCATATATCAACTACTATGGCCATCATCTGAACGTAGATACTCCTGTTCAAAGAATAGCATAATTCTGTTAATGTAAGAATCAGTCTTACAGAACATAGGCGTTCTTCTTGGTGCAGAAATTGGGCTATGTCTTCTGCTGCTATGCCAAGCATTCCCTGCTCCTGCAAATATTGCAGACCTCTCTTGGTCTTTTTGTTAAACCTGGGAGGGAAGGAGGCAGGGAGAGGAGGAGACATGACAGCTAAGTCAGATACATGAAGATTTTTAAAAAGAAAACAACAAGATAAAGCATTGTAATAAAACTGCCTATTCAGTTAGAGCAACTGTATATGTTATCAATATATTTTCCTTTTTTGTGAACCTTTTAAAAGGCACAGTTAAAATTCTAAAAAAATGAACCAGAATTATATTTAAAGAGGGAACTCCCACATTTTTGTACATATATAGACCAATAAAAGTTCACTTGCACAATGACATCTTCATGTTTCTTTTAAAAAGTTGCCAATTTGTGCTTTTATCTCTTTGGAGACAATGCAAGGCCTCTGGAATAGCGCAGAATGTAGCATGACAGGGCTTGGGATGTGTGTGGAACTGGGAGAATTTGGAAAGGTCTTTTTGTACAAGGAGAAATGCCTTTCCAACAACACAACCTATCTCTGGAAACAAGCTGCTGTTTTATACAATTTTAAGGAATATAAACTGCTGTATGCACAGCATACATCAGGAACTGGATGCAGTTTTTAAAATTTACAGTCATGGTAGCTGTAAAGATTGAAACAGAAGTGAAAAAGTTACAAATTTCAAAATGCAACTCATTCACTAGACAAGAATTAGCTCTATATGCACACAAACAATATCTAAATACATTAAAAAAGCTAAGAAGTGTAATTTCATTTATCAAATTCTTATTAAAAACATAAATACAGCACTATAAGAATGATATTATTAATTTCCCAGAGTTTCCCTTAAACTCTTTAAACTGCTTTGGCTGTTACAATGCTGCAGCAAGCATTCAAACTCACAGTTCAATCCCATGTTCAATAATCTCTTTTTGTTGCTTTATGACCTCAAATTGCTCTGGGTCATCAGGGACAGCAGTCTGGGTGCCAACGCTCCCAATTCCTGAGGAGACCGTGGAATCCAAGGAGCTTGCACTGCTTCTTCTTCCCCCCATCTCCAAACATTTGCCTTCACTCATTTCTTGATCTGAAGGCCTATCTGGACCTGCATGTTAAAATGATGTAAAGAGGTACTTCAAAAGAATATGGAACTAAAATATATTTCAGGCTCCCTAAAACAGACTGGCATTAAGTTGTAATGTAAGGTCACAAAGTTTTCACATTTGCTATTTTCCACTGGTCAATAAGCCTACTACAGGAAGTACGAAGATAATAACCTAGGGAAAACAGCATTCACCCTTCATCAGGGGAGTAGTTATGCTATGGTGTCCAAAGGAGAGGATTGTATATTGCTTTCAAGAGAGGCTAATAGACGTAAACTAAGAAAAGCAAAAATTACCTTGCACATTATTCATTTAAAAAAATAAAGGTAAAAGTTTCCCCTCACATTAAGTCTAGTTGTGTCCAACTGTGGGGGGTGGTGATCATCTCCATTTCTAAGCCAAAGAACCGGCGTTGTTCATAGACACCTCCAAGGTCATGTGGACAGCATGACTGCATGAAGGGTCATTACCTTCCTGAAGAGGTAGTACCTACTGATTTACTCACATTTGCATGTTTTTGAACTGATAGGTTGGCAGAAGCTGCACCTAACAGCAGGAGCTCACCTCGCTCCCTGGATTCGAACCGCCATCCTTTCGGTCAGCAAGTTTAGCAGCTCAGCGGTTTAACCCACTGTGCCACCTGAGGGCCACATTATTCATTAGAATCAGATCATCAGAGAACTAACGTTCTGGGCTGAGTTTGGTGTGCCATTTAAAAATATATATATAAACTAGCACATTAAGGGAGATTATTCATTAGCATCCCTTAATTTGCATGTTACATTTTTTCAAACGTGGCATACTAAACTCAGCCCTGAAAACTCTAGTTCTCTGATGATCCAAAGCGGACTGTGTGAATTAAGAAGCCAGCCATAGGTAACAACTGAGCAGTTGGTACAATCTGATCTTCCAGCTATATTAAATGCACACTATGGAATACACAAGCAAAATGATTTCTCACCGAGGCTGGCTTGATGGTTGGGATTCACATACAAGTCTTTGCTCCATTCTACCATGCACTTTAAGATAGAAACCAAACATTCAAGACCTTTCTTCCTTAGGCTAAGTTCCTGTATACAAAATAAATAATTAAATAAAATCCAGAGATACACTGTTAACAAGTCAAGACTTTGGGAAACCAGACACATTAACTAAATCAATAAAAAACCATAATCCATTCAGGTCTCACACCAGATCATGATTTGCATGAACTTCAGATCCCAAGTTTGGTTCTGTTTCCCACATATTCAGCATCCATTTCTAGCTGCTGGGACCCTCAGTGGCCAAGTGCATGGACTGAGGTAAACATTTAATTATTCAAGATTAAGGGATTAGAAACAGATTATTGTTCCCTCTGCTGAACCCTTTCATGTGTGAACCTTACCACTATAATTACCTTACATCTTTCTAGTATCTATTAATACAAGGAAGCTGGCATCAAGCACAAGTGATTGAGAATAAAGCCACAACACATCAGGTCAGAGTCAAGCATAGGATTGCACTGCGAGTCTTACCTGCAGGGGTGTCATGCCTAATTCATGTCCACTCCGTCCCTGAGCAATTTTAGACAAATCATTTACTAGCCGTTCAAAAATATTAGCAGCATTCAAGTCACAGTCGTAGTTAACGTATATATCCACCACACACTGGGCATCTAAAACAAACATTAAGATTAGAAGAAAATAGTTGGCAACAAAATATCACAACTATATTGTTTTTTCCTTTTAAAACTAAAGAATGTATTGGGTAGAATGGAACACAGAAACCCATTGCTAGCACTGAATCAAAATTGAATTCTGAAAAGAGCCCTATGTATTTAGAAGGCAGAAAACATGAAGTAGGCACCAACATTCTCAAAGTTCTCATTTTCACCCCCTTTATATCACAAGCATTCACTGTCTGCCTCTAATCAAATTTTGGACAAGAAAGACTTGCATTAAAATCCCCAAATAGCCAACTGAGAGGACTGTGTGTCATGGGACGGTCCCCATTATCGTTCAACCAATCTTGTGGAAGGAGGAAGATTGGAAAATACTCAGAACAGTGAAAGGCCCTTCCTTTGCTGTTTCAGGATTTCATATTTTACATTCTGTGCTCCCTGCAACTCTGTAGAACTCTGAGACTCCTTATGCCCTCTGTGCCAGGGCAGACTGTGATGTATAATGACCATTGCAGCTGCACATGGGTCATGCTTCAATGACTTCACCCAAAAGCTTATAAACCAGGGGGATACAGAACTGCAAGTAGTTATATTCCTTTTTCTACATGCCTATATTTAAATTGCTTATACCACCTTGTTACTCTGAACAAACCCAATATAGCCTAATTTTGAAAGCTAAGTAGGGTAAGGTTGGAAGACCATTAGAAAATACCAAAGAGTTAGGGTTAGGAGAGAATCCTGCTTGAAACTTTGGAGTGCTTCTGCTAGTCAAAGTTATCAATAAAATCCTTGGACAGTCATCTATGTTCCTATATATTTCCTATATTCTTTCTCCAAGTATATTCTAAGAAAGAACAAAATGGAAATGTCTGAACATTGTAACCAATTTACCTGCAGAAATTCTAGTCAGGGTTTGAATTACCATCCATTTGTGCTCAAAGGAACTGGATGAGGTTTCTAAAATGTTTAGGAAGATCTCTTTGAAAAACACCTGTTTAGAGCAGAAAGAAAAAGAAGGTGCTATGTCTGTACTATAAGCAAACATTCCATGTATATCATTATCTTATTCCAGGTGCATCGTTATCATATTCCAAGCACATCTGTTTACCCCAGTAATTTGTTCAGTCTTTGAAAAAGGTAGTAAACGTATATTTGCATAATCACCAAACATGAGTTTAAAAACCTATACTTTGAGAGAGTAATGTTTCAAGGACTGCCATATCATACTAATATTGTAGTTAACTGAAACAGACTATCAAACACTCAGAATGGAAAAGTACAAAAAACCCTCGTACCTCAATCTGCATTTTTAAATGAGTTTTAAAGTTTGAGAGAAGGGTGAGGAAGATGGCAAGAGAAAGCTCAAAAACATCAGGAACAGAAGATACTCCGTTTTTAGATAATGCTACACAGAGATATTGCTTGATTGCATTTATGAACATTTCATGTGTCCTGAAGACCGGACCAGCATTCTGCAAAACTGAAAGCAGCAGCTGCAGGGACACTATCTTAGAACGTAGCTCATGGGACCTGCAAACAGTAAACAGAAGAACTGAGTCACAAAAGTCTTTCTTCTTGGGTATGCTTTTCTGGAGATTGTGTGATCAGGTTAGGGGAAAGTTGGGCAGCAAATTGGTAGTGGTGATGGCCAGAGGTAGCACTGCCACTTAATACTATACCTTGGCCTTTATCAAAATAGAAACCATCCCCTTGTCTGAGAACAGTGGTGAAAAACCTGAGTGGGCAGCTAGAGGAGGCTGGGCCCTTGAGGTGGCAGTGGCACTTTCCCCTCTCCGCAAAATAACTCTCTATCCAAGGGTCATATCAAAATCCATAGTTTTGCCCTCAAAACCGGTCTTCCACTTATACACGAGATTGACATATAGATGAGTATATACTAGTTTAATAGCTTACGGATGCCCTTATAAGTACATTTACATTGAAGAAGGTTAGAATAATGGTTTAATCAGAGTTGGACAGTCTTATCTTAAATTATAGTTTTATGTAAATATTCAAAAACATTTAACCTACTGATTAATGTAATTTTATTGCTATCTATTTTTATTTTGGAATTTACCAGTAGCTGCTCCATTTCCCATCCTCAGCTTATACTTGAGTCAATACATTTTCCCAGTTTTTTTGTGGTAAAATTAGATGCCCTGGCTTATATTCATGGCCAGCTTATAGTTGAGTATATTTATAAGCTGTTATAGATGCTGTCAAATAAGGGATGCAGTCACAACAAATGCTTTTTTTTACAGTGTTAGTCAATATTTTTACATTAGCAACAAAACATTAAAAGACAGTCATTAATTTTTTCCTATCATGTCTATTCGCTTTCTTGAATTTATATTCACAATTTTAATTGGTTCTTACTTGGGATCTGGAGGCCCATCACCAAGCGGTTTCATTGAAAGCTTGCACAATGAACGGAACACAAGGAAGGCATCCTTCTGAAGAATATGGGAGAACTTAGCAGCTGCCTGAGGTCCAGGTACATCTGTTTCCTAAATAGCAAAGTCAGAAAAACATTATCTTAAAATAATTTAAGATTACAGATCTTTTGAAGTAGGATTCAGTGATAAATGCCTACAATAGCGTTTTCCTTAGATCTATGTAGTGATTGTGGAGATGTGTATGTTGCAGTGAAATCAACTTTTAAACAACAGAAGGTATTGTCTGGATGGAACACTTAAAGACATTTTAGCATTCTAAAATGCTGTCTCTGTGGAGTTATATCATTTCACTTTCCCCAGATATGGCCATTATAAGGGATCTGTAAGCTTCTGATTAATCTTAAGAGTTACACAATGAATAGACATAAAATGGTTTGTTAAAACAAGACTTTTTCAAATCGTAGCTCATTAAGCTAAATAGTTAAAATAAATAGTGGGCCCTTGGTAACTGGTGGCATTTGATACCAAGATATTAAGATTCATAGATACCCATGTCCCATTATATACAATGTTGATATAAAATAGCAAAATCAAGCTTTGCTTTCTGGGATTAAAAAATATTTTCAAGCTACGGATAGTTGAATTTTGCATACGGAATCTGTGATTAATTGTAGTTAAGCATTAACCACAATTTAGGGTTCAGGTGACACAATAAAACCTGGGGTTTAATCTAAACTAGAAGTAAAAAAAAAGTCTACTACTAAAGGATAATATGGTATATTGGAGGATACTATAGGTGGATGGAAGGGATGGGAACCAAAGAGTCACACAGTTTCATTCTCTTATTACTAAACCAAGTCATGGCCTTGCATTACATCTCAACACCGTTCTGTTTGTAGCCAAACAACATCACTGTTTGCTTTGTTAGAGAGCTCTACTAATCTGATTACATCAGGCTGCAAGAAATAAACAGGTCTAGAATAAGCAAACAGTCAAAACATTATGTAGGAAATAATTTTAACTCCTTCTAGTTGCATTTAAGGAAAGGTTCTAATTTGGTAGGGAAGAACACACATTAAATACTGAATATTTAATGTTCAGTCCCCGATATCCCTGTAGAGGTAGTGCTAAAAACTGCCACGCATCAGTGTCGCTATTACTGAGCTACTTATTTCCCTTATTTAGTGTGTCTATATCTCAATCTACCCAGCCCCATGAGCTAGATGCACTAGTATTCAGGGATAGTTGCAATGGCTGTGAAGTACAATACAACAACATCCAAAATTTACAAACAGCAATTCAAGTTTTGAGAAAACTCCAAGCATAAAATATATTATGCAAGCCTTTAAAGTTTCATTGGCTTCTCCATCAGGCAAATGTTGACTATTATACAGAAGACAAATGTTCATATCAGATCTGCTTATAGATTTTGCTTTTTTGCTATGTAACTACTCCTGGATATATATTTTTTTCTGGATTTCAAGTAACCAAATTTACCCACATTAGAGGAAGAGCTTTCTCTGTTGCATTGTCCTTCTTATGTAATGCGATCCCTTTGAAGCTCAACATAATCTTCATTTCAGTGTCAAATTAAAACATTATTTATTTATTTATTTATTTACTTTGCTTATATACCGCTGTATCTCAAGCCCGAAGGCGACTCACAGCGGTTCACAAACAGTAAAAACAGTAGAAACAGACGTGGTTCCATGCAACATATAACAATGGCTCTTTATTTAAAAAATCCAAGGTCTAAGTATCATGGCCTGAGGATAATGTATATTTATGTTTCCGTGTACATGGATTTAATTTATTTTATAATTCTTCAAATTGAATTGTTTTACATTGTTTAAACAATTTTCTTGTCTATGATCTGACACCTTTTGACATCTTTTGAATGTATGTTACTCTGATTGTATATTAGATTATTTGTGTTGGAACTAATAAAATGAAAATGCAGTCTCAATTTCTGCTAGACATTTTGGATTCCAGCTTTCATCTGCCATAGACAGAACAGCAAATGGAAAGGGACAGTATGTATTTTAGCCTAAAATAACTGAAGTGACTCAGATTGGGGAGGCTATCTAAATAAAGGCATTTTCTCAAGGTATTCAATTTTTTTCTTTTGTTTTCACATTCAGCAATCTCTTTCAGTTTGGAAATCATCTTAACATATTGCTTCCATAAAGGATTATTCATAGCTGTTCTCAAAATTCCATTACCTCCCTATATCTTCATAGGGCCAACTAACCAAGAAAGTCATTTACAGATGGGTTTTGTCAGTGGAATATCAGAGTGACACTACATGTAGGCCATCATGCTGGACTGTTTTAATTGCATTATTGAGTTTTGCATATTTTACCAAAAGCCATTTTGGAAAAGTTGTGTATAGTCCTTAGCAGAGGCAAGTATGTCTTATAGTTACAATTTAGCAGCCCCTCTGCTGCCCCTCAACTACACATGGAGTAATACATACATGCTGTAAAAATGTAGAAATATACAAGTGACTGTAACAAAAGTAGAAAAATATGCTTCATGCTTCCACCTCATGAAAACTGAAATGTTTTGTATTATACAAATTTTCAAGGTACTGTCATGTTAACACTTCAAAGGTAATCACCGTACCAAAGCAATTGTATTTATGAATTTTTAAAATGAATATTATGGTGCCTTACACTAGTAAAAGAATTCCATTTTCAAAAATTCAAGTTGTTGATGAATGTGATATGTATGAAATGACACCCCCACCATTTTATAACAATTCCGCAGACAGGGATCTCACATTCATTTCAATGTAAACTTAAATTTCCTACCAGATTATCTGTGGATGAAACAGATTGTCTGTCATCTGGAATTCCATTTGTTTGACTACTTTCACTAAAACCACCAGGTGAGGCAGGAACTACAGCTCCCAGTTCAGACAAGATCCTGCTCGATTCAGGTAAAGCTTGCCTTTTTATTTCTTCTTCTAAAGAGACTGAAGAAAACAAACATTCACAATCCTATAAATAATGATCTCAACAAATAATCTTATTCAAAGAGAGAAAGCACACATAGTAGAAAGTATACAAGCATTATAGAGTGTTATATTTTATGTCAGACATGGGGAATTATGAGGCTGATATAGAATCCTAGAGATGGAAGAGAACTAGACCTCTTTCCAAAAGAAAATCTAGCTTCCTGTCACCATGCTTTAAGTCCCAGAGGAAAAGTTTGAAAAAGAGGATGTTTCTTTGAAACTCTGAAGAAAGAGAGACACTTCCCCAAATATTTTTTTTACCTCTAACAGCTGAAGTGACCACATCCTCCAAGATTCTTTTAACAATTGCTTTGCCTCCATCAGTTTCTTCTTCTGATAAAATATGTCAAAAAGTTATTTGAAAAAGTTGTAATGTTGTATTTTGAAAGGATTTTTAAAAAGACACTAAACATTATTTTAGAATTCACATTTCTCATTCAGTAAATTTCCTGTAATTTTTTTTAAAAAAACAAACACATAGTCTAAGTCAAAAAAGGTGATCATAGCCATTTATGCTCTATTTATACAAAAGTATTTAAGGAAGCCTCTATGGCTGGACCTATACTGCCAAATAATGCAGTTTGAACTGCATTATACGGTCACTGTTTAGTCATATAAAACAGTTTTGATTGTATTATATGGGTCTACACTGAACATACAAATAAGTTCAAATTGTATTATTTGGCATGGCAGATCCAGCTTATGTGGGGAAAAAACTAAAAATACAGACCAGGCATGGGCAAACTTCGGCCCTCCAGGTGTATTGAACTTCAACTACCAGAACTCCTAACAGCTAGTAGACTGTTAGGAATAGTGGGAAGTGAAGTCCAAAACACTTGGAGGGCTGAAGTTTGCCCATGCCAGATATAGACAGGGCTAATCACTAATTTACTATAGGATTTTTCCTCTGGAAAAGGTTATACAGTATTTAGAAAAAATCCAACAGAAAGCAAAACCCTTTCTGGAAGTTCTTCTGCAAAATTAAAATCAGAAATCAGAGTCAACTCTAAGTATTAATGGATTGATTTAGATCATTTTTCTGAAAGAAGAGGGAAACTTTTCTGTGTTTCAGCTAAGGGGGTCCTTTAATTTGCATAATGTTACTACATCCCAACTGGGACGCAATCCATATAGGAAGCAAGGAATTGTTCTCTTGATAGCTGACAAATTGCTTATAACTGTTGATCCATCTGGAATAATGAAAGAAGTAATCAGAGCAGAAGACTATGAATTTTCTACACTTTAAGAGAAAGATTTCAATGAATAATATGAATCTCTGTGTATGTGTGTGCACCTTCGTGCTTGGACTAATAATTACTTTTATTTTTCCATGCATTCTAAAAACGTTAAAAAAATAAACCATAGTTTCTGGAGTTGTGGATAAGCACCACGATGTATACTTCTACCTCTTCTCTATTTTCTGTTCCACACTGATTTCATTGTAAAGATACTAAATAGTATTTGGCCAGAGTTCCCCATTATGATTGAACCAAGGCATTCGTGTACAATTATTTCTCAGGTTTATTAGCTAACATTAATCCCTACCAAAGTTACAAGGGAGGGATGGGGTGAAGAAAAAGTGTGTGGGAATGTAGCTTATCCATAGCTTCACAGACCATGGTTTGTCATGCTTGGATTTATTGTCTTAATATTTGGTGATATTTACCAAATACTGAAGGAGTCAAATGGTCCTCTGGTTTCTGATCTTCATCTTCTTTTCTTTCAGGCTCACCATTTGTTAAATCTGTTTTTACTGGAGTTGATGGTTTACTGTCTTGTGGAGTATACCTCAATCGGCCAATCTTGGGGGATCCTGACACAGTATGAATCATAGGAGACTGACATCTTTGTTGGTTTGATTTCTCTAATTCCCTTGCCTCTTGAATCTTAAAAAAGAACATACACATACAAGAACTAAATGTTTTTCTAAAATACCCCGCACAGTAAGTCACAAAACAATATTTCAAAGAAGACAGGAGAGCCAAATATCACTGCATAAAAATACATCTATATCAATAAAGAACTTTTCTGTTTCAATATTTCTTTCAAATATATTTGGTTAACGGAATTTTGAATTTAATCATACAAAAATTAATCTCAAGTCAACCAGTTACCTGTTTTAAGGAAAACAGTTGTAGCCTGTCATTAAATATAGTTTACATCTAATTCTCAACTTGTCATTGCTCACAAATGACGTAAGAGAGAACAACAAATATGGAGAAGAATCAAACCATGATAGTAAGCTGCCATGATAAAAAGAATTCCAGCCTACATAAAAATTCAATTTCTACTAAACAAGTTGAGAGAACTTTGATATGTCACCTACACTGATGTAGAGTTCCCCTTTCCTGCTTTGTTTAAACATAGTTTGTTGAAATGGTTCTGAATCGATTATTTGTTGTCTATTTCGCAAATAATAATTATGCTAGTTTGGAAGGAGTTCTGGCTAAATATATTTTGTTTGATTTTAACATTAGAATCATAGAGTTGGAAGGGACCACATGGGACATTTAGTAATGTAGGAAAGGCACAATCAAAGCACCTGTGACAGGTGACCATCCAGCCTCTGTTTAAACTAAACCATATTTATTTATTTATTTATTTATTTATTTATTTATTTATATTATTTCTATCCTGCCCATATCAGCCCAAAGGCTATTCAGGGCGGCATACACAATCGGCACAATTCGATGCCATAAAAAATACATACATTGATAAAGCAAAAAAAGAAACATTATAGTACATTTAAACATGAAGATGGTGCATAATAGCAATCCCCATCAAAGAAAAAGTCCCCTACAAACAATAGTGGAAAAAAGAGGAAAATGGAGGAAATGTTAAAGTCTGTAGTAAGATATTTTATCCCTCAAACCACAGTCAGTTTTTCTTTCTGTCTTTGGGTTATCCAAAAGATGAATTTGACAGCAGAAGTCCAGAAAAGGAGCAGCAGAAATGCATTAGTTTTCAAGGCTATAAAGGCACATTGATGAACATTTATTACGTACAGCTTGGTTTTCCATCCGAGTGAAAATGACATTCAGCATTTGAGTGAGGGTAGCCTTGGCAGTTGTCTGATTAATGAGATTTTTACTGGCCAAATAGATGTTGTAGCAAGTTCTAACAGTCTGAAGGATTGTTCCCTCATGAATTTCTATATACGGGGAAGTGACAGCCGTGAGAAGAGCCTGAGAGAAAAATGCAGAAATACATACACCATAATAATGACATTTGAATAAAGATGGTACAAAATTATTTTTAACAATGCAGTGTAGAAGCAAGGCTAGCTATTTGTAAGACTAGTAAAGGAAAACCAGCCTTTGAAGCATGAATTAAGAGAAGGGAGATTTTACTTTTCTTAATCCTTTCTTCAAAGACTGTTTCAAAGCAAGACACGAACACTCTGGTATACTGTATCTTTCTTTCTAAAATAATCAGGATGAAGGGAATGAAGCTAAGGAAAGCAACAACATCTTGACAGGGAAAGTATAAAATCTTCCATGACTACTACTTTAGGTCACTATTTCTTCAGAAAGGCCTGGCTGCTTCTCTAGCTTGTGCTTTCAAGATAAAGATATACCTTTGACATTTATACCCCCTCCCCCACAGGCTGTAGCTCTTCATATTTCTCCTTTCTGGATTATAAGGGACAGTATAGGCTCATCCAGCCTGTTTCATATTTGTAGAAGAAAAATGACTATTTGCCCTTCTTTTGAGAATTCATCAGATTGGATTTAGGATTTATTTTCCTCTGGTAGATAGGCTTTCTTGGATGGATGCAGAAAAGCTCTCCATCCAACTGAGGGGGGAAGCCCTGCTCACTGGGGACCACAGCATTCTGGACGATTTCTTGAGACTCTGTGCAGCATTTTCAGGGAGCAAAGCAAATACTGTGAGAAGGGCATCATATAAAATCACCTTTTAATGGTGAAATTCCATATTTCTAAAAGCAGAGAAAGATTGGCTTTCTGCGCATTATTATAATACTACAAATCTGCCTTAGCATTATTCATTTTAAATTCACCTATTAAAAAGTAAAACTCGCTGATTTCACTAGGTTTTCCTTTTTACTAAGGGGGGAGGGGCTACCAAAAGACAGTATTAAAATAGGCTTGTTAAAATACAAAGCAATAAATACCTTTATAATTTGTAATTGAACTCCTTCATCAGTCTGAGGTCCCTGAAAACAATTACAGATTGTTTCTACTATGCGGTCAATCAGGCGCTTTCCAGGAGCCCCACTGTCTGGAGCATTGCCAGTGATATGTCCATATGCAATGAGTTTCTAGGGAAGCAATATATATATATACATCACAAACATTTTCAACAGCTAAACCCATTACATCATTTAAACACAGTAAGCAAGATATTAGAACTTCACCAATAGATTCTGAAGTGAAAGGAATAAATTGAAAAACACTTTTAAATGAATTGAAGCAGGGACAGGGCTAGGCTAAGAAAACATTAACCTAACCCTGCATCTAAAAAATCACCCATACACTTGAGTGACTCAAAAGCTACGCTAAAGGTCCTTATTCCAGAGTAAGGCAGATGAAAAAGGAGAATACTTACAAAACCAGAATATAAACACTAATAAAGGTCTGTTAAAAAGTTTTTTAAAGGAATAAATAAATGCATACACTCCCATATAGGCAATTAAAGAAAAAAGCAAACAGCTCAAATTGATAAACACTTATTTAAAGAGGTTACCTGTAAGCAGTCCAACGAGGTACTGACAATTCGTGGGGACTTTGACTGGCATGCCAATTCAAATGGAAGGAAATATTTATCAGCTTCAATGAAGTTTGGTTTTGGTGTGGTTTCATTGCCTTGGCTAGTAAGAGAAATTGAACGGAAATCATGTGATATTAAGATCGGTTCAATAATTTCCATAGTTATATCTCAGTAATATAGAACATGTAAAATGAAGGTAATTTCTATATTAAAATATTGAGACTCAGGAAACAATAATCCAGCCTTTAATGAATGCCAGATGTATAAACTAGCTCCAATTTAGACTTATGTACTGTAGGCTTTACTATATAACTCTTTTAAGAATTATCCGCCACAACCCGCAAAATAGCTACCTTTCATACCTGCTAGGGAGTAGGTTTGTCAGCAGGCATGTGAAATACTGAAGCCTATGGCCGCAGTCTCCAATGTCCATGCCTGCCAAAAGTCAGCATGCAGAGCTTCTCCCTAGCTTCTTGTAAAGGCAACCTTCTGCTAAGTCTTGAGCAAGACAATTGTCTAACTCCACCCTTAGTGCAAACCAATACAGTTTGTCAACTGATGAAACACTATGAGGAAAGTTTGTCCTGTTTGCAGGAATTTCAGGACAACAGCATGAAGAATAAAAAAAGGAACATTCAGTTAAGCGGAGACAACTAAAAGTTTTCTTTTAAAAAGATCAATGAAATAATCTTTCAATTGAAGTAGCTTGCAATGTTATTATTTCCATTTAAATTTAATGTAAACAATTATCAGTTTAGATATTTTTATTATTTGCTCCAGGACAATTAAGCCTCATGAGAGAAAACATCAAACCATCATGCTGCCATAAATTGTTAACTAAAAGATAAGTCCTATATTAAACTTAAACAATAGTGGAACAGTCTAGCATATTGCTCTATTGTCTACAAGCTTTTTAAAAGATAAGAAGGGCAATAAATACAGAATGAGAGCATTTCTGTATTTCCAGAAAAGTATAGCTAATGCAAGAACCTCCTTCTCTAGATTCAATGTTACATTTTCTGGTTAGTTAAAATGTTGAAAAAAAAAATAAAGCAGAAAAAACTAAACTAAATGAAACTGTTGTAGAAAACGATCGATAGCAGCTTGGAAAACTGACACAGAATAACACAAAAATACCATTAGAATTTTATTAGGATTCTCCACAAATATATATTTAAACAATACCAGGCACGGCATCTCATTAAAGAAACAGATGCAGAAAAAACCCCCACAATAAAACTATTTTAAAATACTGATAATGTTAAAGAGAAGTCAGATCCCAAGAAGTTACGGTTTATTTAATTAATCATGCTGACTGATAACTCTGTCAAAGCCAATTAAAAAGTATACAGTAAATAAACCTGTCAAGGGGCCAAGAAGAAAAGAAGGTAAGATACAGATCTTCTGATGACATATGACGGTTAAGTAAAAAACACTGGAAGAAAAGAAATCCAGTTTAAAAGAAAGGAAGTGGTAAAACAACATCTTTGAAAAGTCGTTATTTGTATCTGAAATACAGTGACAGTTTTACTTAGGCCATTCATAGCCACAAGAATTGCTTAAACCTGTACCTATTCTCCATAGTTTCCCATTTTTTTTCCTAAAGACACAATTGCAATTAAGTGCTCTTATATCATCCAAAACCACTTTCTGTACATATGTTGCTCAAAGGCAAGACAGAAATACATGCAAGCAGAATAAAACACGACACAGATAGTGGAGCATCAGTCAGGCAACTATCAGTATGTTCCTTTATCTTAATTTCAGATGTGATATTCTTAATACCTAGATGAACAGTGTCACTTTGCCTTTCCATGCACAGGACTAATCAAATTTTGGTATTTTAAAGAACTCTAGATACACCTACATGCTAGATGCTTTGATCTTAGGCAAACAGTCACTAAATTAGAACAGTTACTCACCTTTGCTTTTCTAGTTCTGCTTTGATTTCATCTGGGGAGGAAAACACACACAATAAAAGTTTATGTTGCAGGTTTATATCACACAAATGGTAATATTTGACATATATACAAGTGAAGGAAACCCCCCACACTGATTTTGTGTAACAATAGTCCCGTTCCCCAGATGCTTTTAAATAATTATTTTACAAATAAATCAGCAGCAAATTGCTGATCATAATGGTTAGCTGAGATGGGCAATTAACTGCTGACCACTGTGGCTGTCTGGCTGATAATGAAGAAATATGAGAACAGCAATCCAAAAACATTTATAAGGCCATAGGAGATACCCAAGGTTACTTTCCCTCATTGTTTTGCCTATTACACATAACCATTAATATTTTATTATCAACATTACACAATTTAGTAGCACTTTAACTTTTGGTAATGACTTATAACTACAAAATCATCCAACTCCTTGTCATGAATGGCTAAATTAGTTTTATGAGGTCTTTAGCCTTTTCTGCCATACAGAGCTCAGTGTCTCAAAACTACAAACCCGAGGATTCCATAGCATTGAGCCATGGCACTTAAAGTGATGTCAAACTGCATTAATTCTGCAGTATAGATGAACCCCATTCCTTTATTAGTAGCTGCACTCTAAAAACAGCTGACAGAGAAATATCACAAAAATACATGTCCTAATCCAGGTCAGTTACTTAGTGGGACAATGTGCTGTCCCTTTTCCCATATTCCTTCTATACTTCTCATGGTAAAGCAAATGAAAACAATAATACAGTTAACAAAAAAAATCTGACAGATCTTGTTATCACAACTATGTTTGAAATGACATTTGGTACTAATGTGCTTTAATTTTTAAAATGCCAGTTATGTTATTTAAGGACAGAACTAGTTTTTCTATTTTTTTATTCAGTAATGTGCCATTATCCTGGCAGATTCCAAAAGTGGGCCTAGAAAGAGAAGGATAGTCCATATTATGGGTGGGTGGAGTTGAAGAAGTAACTCCCATTTTCCCCGTTTTCGCTGATTATTCCTCCCCATCATAAAAGATGGAAACATAGTAAAGGTAAAGGTTTCCCCTGACATTAAGTCTAGTCATGTCCAACTCTGGAAGGTGGTGCTCATCTCAATTTCTAAGCCAAAGAGCCAGCGTTGACCATAGACGCCTCCAAGTTCATATGGCCAGCATGACTGCCTGGAGCGCTGTTACCTTCCCACAGAAGCAGTATCTAGTGATTCACTCACATGTGCATGTTTTCAAACTGCTCGGTTGGCAGAAGCTGGGGTTAACAGCGGGAGCTCACCCTGCTCCCTGGATTCTAATCACCAACCTTTCGGTCAGCAAGTTCAGCAGCTCAGCGGTTTAGCCTGCTGTACCACCAAGGCAACATAGGTTAAGAGAGTAACAGGAAAACAGTGGGAAATGGTTTTACTCCTTCAACCCCCTTTCACCCCATAAAATGGATTATCCTTCTCTGTCTCGGTTCCCTTTTGGCCTCTGTCCCAATAATGGAACAGTATCTTTTATTCTTTTTTAGTAGTGTGTGCATGTGTCAATTTACAGGGAAATGGTTTTCCTTCTTCAACCCCCTTCCCCCTTTAAAACAGAATATCCTTCTAATTCTAGGTCCCCTTTTGGGCTCCGTCCAGACAATGGAACAGTGTAACTTGGGGACTTCCTGTATATCACAAACAGATAAAAGAAATGTCATTCCTGTACTTTGAAATCAATTACTGTATCAAAATAACATTCTGGGTGATTTGTTACTGGCAATGTGACACTTAATCAAAAAATATGGTTTTAAAAATTCAACCTAATCAGGCTGTTTTGAAAGAGAAAAGACATTACATTCAAGCCAAGCAAACTGATGATATTGACAGATTGGGGAAAATGATATTTGCCAGAAAGGAATTTTTTTACACAACACACATTTTGCTAGTTCTGGCTCCTTCAACTGCCAACCATCTGTCTCTCTCTCACATAGACACACTTTCGTTTTTACATGTAACATTCTGCTTGATGTGCAGATTTAGAGATGCTGAAATATTGTCTATTCTAATTTTTTCTTATGAATCGGTATAGTTTAGAGTAAAGACACTTAATAGAAGTGCAGGAAAAACACAATCCTCATAAGAAATTTGTTTCCAGAGGAACAAGCATATCTGTCTGTTGTTATCTGCAGAAATAGTACTGTGTCACATTTAAAACAGTTCTATTTATTATGGTAAAAGTTTTTATAGACTGTAGCCTTTTTCAGACACATGAAGTGTTGCAGTGTAGAGTGCTGTGTAGAGGAAAATGAAATGCAAAACGATCATCTAACCAGAACAATTTGTAACGTACAGTACTCAATCACAAATATAGCCTTGATTAGCTAATTAATAAATAGCACAAACTAAAAACCAGTCACAGTCAGGCCTCCATATCCACAGATTCTGTATGCATGAATTCAACCACCCACAGCTTGAAAATATTTAAATATAAAACCAAAATGCAACCCTTGATTTTGTATGTAAGGGACACCATTTTAATACACCATTGTATATTATGAAACTTGAGCATCCCCTTATTTGGTATCTGCAGTGGGTCCTGGAACCAAACCACAGTGGATACCAAGGGCCCACTATACTCTAATTTAAGCCACAGGTGACAGAAGTAATCAGGAGGTTAAGTGGTCTCTCTTTCTGGGGAATAGCCCACTTAAGATCTGGAACCCTCTCCAACTTTCTTTAATTGCTGTGCACATATGCAGGAATATCAATCTGTTTGCAGCAGTGGTATAAGATATAACCTTGCTCCCTCTAAACATGGCGGGCTCTTCATTCCTGGGGGGGGGGGAGGGGGAACCCAAAACTAAAGTGTGCTTGAGAGGTGGCTGACTTAGCTCTGATTTACAATATCCAAGGAATGAAGAGCCCACCATGTTTTGAGGTAATTCATTCCATTCCCAAAACATGTTTAACAGGCAGGAGGTTTTTCCTAATACCTTCTTTACCCAAATATATCACGCACCCTATTTGGGCTAAATTTCCTCAACAAAATTAGGGTACACATTAGATTTCCATCAAACGGTAATCTTAGTACTGAGCCAAAGCAAAAGGGGAAGCCTCTTCAGAAGCGACTGGAGCTCCTCTTTGAGGGGTGTCATCTCTAATTTAATGGCCACAATTTAATGCGATGCTATCCTGAGATTTGCGATTCGGTGAGACACCAGCATTCTTGGGAAGATAAGACCTTGTGAAGCTACAGCCCCCATGATTCCATAGCATTGAACTAAGGCAGTTAAAATGGATTCATTTTACAGCATAGGTGCCCCCCAAGGTTTTCTTTTCCGCTGCTGAAAGCTTTGGTGTTCTGACACTTGTTTTTAAAGAAGAAATTCTACGTGTGCAGCAACCTTTTTTGGACAAATGCTAAAGGGTGCACTTTTTGCCACTGTGCATTACATTTGGCAGCAAATACTTTTTTTGGTTTCATGGCTTTGAAAATGGAGGTGCGCATTAGATTCAACAGCACATTAGACTTGAGTAAATACAGTGTTTTCTGTTTTGCTTACAGTGTAAATTAATTAATTTACAATTCCTTAATTTACAATATGGCAATCCTGTTAGATTGGAGAAATCTTCAGTCTTTGCTTCTGAGCATCCCCTACTGAGAACTGGAACCAAGTGGCCCACTACGTCCACAGGTTCTGCAGCCACAGATTCAACCAAGCACAGTTTGAAAATATTCAGAAAAAAAAGTCTAAACAAACAAACCTTGATTTTGTTGTGTGCCAAGTATTAACACTGATGTTTAATCACACACTACCATGACCTCCTGCCATTTCCCACACTTGAAGCTCTCTCTGGCACTCATTTGAATTGTTCAGTTTTTAAAGAGGGGATGCCATTTTACTATGTCACTGTACAAAATGGGACTCGAGTATTCATGGATTTTAGTATTTGCTGGGGGTCCTAGAACCAAAACCTCAGTCAATATCAAAGGACCAATGTAAATAAATGTTTAAATACTTATGTTATAAGTTTCCAAAATGTCAATAAAATAATATTAGAAACATTTTTTAATCTGGCTTGCAGAGGCAGAAAAATGTTTGTTTGATTGAGACAACTTGCTAAACAAACCACACAAAGAACATCAATGCTTTGCTCATCCAATCATGCTTGCAGCACGAACAATAGTATGCACCAACACAATTATAATAGCTAATAACCAGGGAAATCCAAGTTTATCATGAAGTGCAAACTCTGACACTGTTTAGTAGAAAGAATTACTGTGCCACAAGCAACTAATGTTCTACAGAATTAATATTTGTTAAATGTGAGCAAAATTTTCTATTCTCTATCACATAAAAAGCCTTCATATGGTTTACTAAAAATACAAAAAAAACCCCAAAACCCTCCGCCCTTTTTAATTGTACATTCTAAAGTCAGAATTTAAATAAATGCATGAGAAATAAACATTTATCTCCTACATTCCATTTTATTTTCTATTAAGAAGCATTGGAGATTCCAAATTATCAACATGAATATATAGAAATGTGTTATATAAGGTACAAGTCACCATTTGTGAGCCCATCTCATTTTGTTTTTATACTTTAAAAAATGGTACAAAAAATTCAGCAAGTTTTCATTCAAACCCTTATTATTCTTCCTCCATCTGCAAAACTGCAGATTAGAATGATTTTGCAATCCCACTTACAATCACACATAATCAGAAACCATTTGCCAAATAGCATTGTGGTGCAGTCTCTGGGTCAAGCAATCTTGTATACAGCATAAACAATCCAAAAAGGAATTTCAAAATCATTTTAGGGGACACCTAAAGCTAAATAGTTATTTGTTTGGAAAAATTACAACAATTTTAGTGGTAACCTATATTCTTTGATACTATACCAATTTTATTTAGCTCAACATGTTTTCTGATCCACTTAAAAGCAGTTTAATCATGACATACCAGAAACTTTTAAATTTTGGAATGGGACAATGTTTGAGATTTGAGCTTCAAGGCTACATACGCATCAAGTGTACTAT